AACTGACCAAATGTTTTCTCTGCAAGGTCAAAAGAAAATGGAAAAGCCTCCCCATTGTCTTTTCCTTCACAAATCCTGTCTTAAGGGTATGTCTTTGTTTGAATAGGGTGTGAGCCTGTGACCTGGTCCAGGAACTAAGTATTTATCATTACAAAAGACTGGCCAGGCTACCCAGGCAATCCAATCAAGTAACCTGCCAGACAGGAGATAAACAAGGACAGGAGAAAAACAACATTCAAATTTCTGTTTTAGACCGCCTTTTCTGTGATGTAGGTGTGATGTATCTGAGGGGTGGTTTTAGGTTACACCCCTTCTGTGATGTATGCATGATGTTTCTGAGGGTGGTCTTGATCTACAGGGTGGCAATTCCAAAAGTCTTTATAAGGCCTTGCGCGCCATTGTTCTGGGTTCCTCCTCCTCTCCTGCGTGTGAGGGGAGCACCCTGTTGCAACAGATCAATAAAGATCAAGCTTACTAGCTGCTTTGCTTCTCAATATTCTCTGGTTGGCCTCTGTTATTCTCTCCTACCAATAGGGAACCTATGTAAGGACTCTATATGGGCTCTTGGATACCCCATAAAGGAAAAGGGCAATTTTTGTTTACAACAAAAGCAAACAACTTTCTGGAAAGAAAGCAAACAAGAAGGCAGAAAGCAAACAAGAAGGCAAGCCTTGCATTGGCCCCCAAATCCAAAATGTATGAAAGCTGTCCCAGTGTTGGGAAAACTTTAAATCTCATTTGCCCCATTACTTGTAGGTCACTTACTCCTTTCTTTCTTTTTTATTTCTCCCCCTTTTTTGGGGGGGGGGGAGAACGGCTCCTGCTGAAAGGGTGACATGCTGATTTTTCTTAAGTGAAATTCCACCTTTCCACTAACGGGGAGAAGAAACATAAAAAGCTAATCAAAACCTATTACTTGGCGCTTTTGTGGGTCAACATGCAGCCATGTATTCCGATTATTTTTGGTTATGTCTTAATTCCTCCTCTGTGCCCCTCACAATGCAGCCAAAATAGTAAAGGGTCAATGACCCACACCATGCCCTGTTGACTACATCCCTTTTACTGTTATTCATCAATGGAGTGCTGGGATAAGGTTCAGGGAAGGACTGAATGGAAAACAGAGGCTGCAGTGCCTTGCCCTTTCTTCCACTACTACACATAGGGCTGGATTTAGGTTTGATGAGGTCCTAAGCTACTGAAGGTAATGGGGCCCTTTCTATGTCCAGCTGTCCTTTGTCAACAACAAATTGGCGCCGTTTTTTGTGTTGAATATATGTTGTATGGTAATTTATGGACCTAATAGGTATCTAAAGCCATTTGCACATGCAGAATGTAGGCACCCTATATATGTTGTTGTTGTGTTTAGTCGTTTAGTCGTGTCCAACTCTTCGTGACCCCATGGACCAGAGCATGCCAGCCACTCCTGTCTTCCACTGCCTCCCGCAGTTTGGTCAAACACATGTTCGTAGCTTCGAGAACACTATCCAACCATCTCATCCTCTGTCATCCCCTTCTCCTTGTGCCCTCCATCTTTCCCAACATCAGGGTCTTTTCCAGGGAGTCTTCTCTTCTCATGAGGTGGCCAAAGTATTGGAGCCTCAGCTTCAGGATCTGTCCTTCCAGTGAGCACTCAGGGCTGATTTCCTGAAGAATGGAGAGGTTTGATCTTCTTGCAGTCCATGGGACTCTCAAGAGTCTCCTTCAGCACCATAATCCAAAAGCATCAATTCTTTGGCGATCAGCCTTCTTTATGGTCCAGCTCTCACTTCCATACATCACTGCTGGGAAAACCATAGCTTTTACTATGGTTTTCCCAGTAGTGATAGAAATGAGCAAACCAGTGATATTTTAGGGAGGAGGCTAGCAGGCGGCACCCATGACTTACATCTTAGGAACCTGCACAACACAAAACACTGTTGCTGTATGAAGGTTTTATTTTATTTGTTTTTTTATCTTATAATTTGGAAATGTACACTCAATTGGTTTTTTCCCTTTACATTTTTTTGGGCGCCCCTAAGAGAGTGGGGCCCTAAGTTATAGCTTGTTTAGCTTATACCTAAATCCGACACTGAGTACAAGTGTGTCAGAAAGTGTGCAAGGGTGGGTAGGTTCAATGGTGGCCCACAGGCAGCCCACAGGTGGGCTAAGCAAAATGTGCTACATGAAACAAAATGTGTCGTATAAAAGAAGATGTGGTCCTTGAATCTATCTACGCAGAGACACGTGGGCTTTCAGGTGCAGTGCATATTGTAACTGTCTTGTATGCTTCGCTTACAAAGGGCGCTGTTTCACTGATTTGGTGAAGTGGAAGATATAAAGAAATAAGCGATGCAGTTGCCTGCTAGATTGTGCGCTAGAGACATCTAGCGTTCTGCTGGAGAAGTGCTTGATAAACTTAACAGAAGGGTGCAAAAGGGGTGGAACAATTTTTGTGTGGTGGCACCGGTGTGGAAGCTGAGGAAAACCACTTCCCCAGAGTGGGGCTCCGTGTAGGATAGATCTGTTTTTAAATCCCTTCATTTTGAGATAAGCAGCAGCATTTCCACATCTGTGGCACTCCCCGGGGTTGGCATGGAGGCGCCAAATATGCCCAACTCAGGGAGCACAAAGATTGCACCTTCCATGTGCAACGCCGCTACAGAAAAGTATTTTTGGCTGCTTCCACATTGGGACTATAACCTTAAAACCCAGGGCTTTTTTTCAGCTGGAAATCGCTCCCGTTGCTCTGTCCCAGCTCCTGCCAACCTAGCAGTTCAAAAGCACACCAGTGCAAGTAGATAAATAGGTACCACTGTGGTGGGAAGGTAAATGGCATTTCCGTGCGCTTTGGTTTCTGTCACAGTGTTCCATGCACCAGAAGCGGTTTAGTCCTGCTGGCCACATGAATCGGGAAGCTGTCTGTGGACAAATGCCGGCTCCCTCCATGGGGTCATGAAGAGTCGGACACAACTAAATGACTAAACAACAAAGATAAGAGAGGGCCAATGGTAGACCCTTGAGTTTAAATGCAGGAATCCAAATCATCATCATCATCATCAATATTGGGTATTTATTCAGCCAGGACTGTGGTAAGAAACTTGTTCCTTTCAAACATTCAGACGGGGTGTGTGGGTGTGGGGATGAGGGGAGGAAAAGAAAGCCACCCACATTGTGTACATATTGTTCACTGAAAAATCCTTTACTCCTTTTGAGTTACATTAGAACTTTTAACCAGAAGCGCCATATTATTTTTTTTTACAAGAATACAAGAAGTCACAAATGACAATACGGCAGGTGACGGCACCGCATAGCAATAGCCATAGAATCGTAGATTTGCAGAGATGCAAGGGACCACAATGGACATCTGGTCCAATCCTAGCCCGGAGTGACAATCATTGCGCATCACACAAGAGGATGGGAAGACATGACAGGTTATCGTGCCTAATCTAGTCATCAAGCATCAGTAGCAGTGCTGAGATGTGTGTGTCGGTTCACAGGCATGATGGAAGGTGGGTCTAGCACATGGCTGAGCGCTTGCGGGATCTGAGCAGAGAACAAATCTATACAACGCAAGGAAGTATTTTAAGTTTGGTGCTGGCCTTCACAAGCAGAACACTGCCAGCCGGAGATCCAGGCAGGTGGGCTCTGGATTAGGGGCCACACAGAGGCGGAGGAGGAGTTGGGCGGACTTGGCAGGTGATAGCAATAAGTCCAGCCCTGGGTGCAATGGTCAAGGCCCTGCTTATGGCTTTGGGCTCTACCGAGAGAGAGGTACAAAATAATACGTGGAATTTTAGGTTATAATATCTGCAACCTCTATTTAAAGCAGGGGTCAGCAAACTTTTTCCGCAGGGGGCTGGTCCACTGTCCCTCAGATCTTGTGGGGGCCCCAAACTATATATACCGTATTTTTCGCTCTATAAGACGCACCAAGCCACAAGACAGTTTTTGGAGGAGGAAAACAGGGAAAAAAATATTCTGAATCTCAGAAGCCAGAACAGCAAGAGGGATCGTAGCGCAGTGAAAGCAGCGATCCCTCTTGCTGTTCTGGCTTTTGGGATAGCTGCGCAGCCTGCATTCGCTCCATAAGATGCACACACATTTCCCCTTACTTTTTAGGAGGGAAAAAGTGAGTCTTATAGAGCAAAAAATACGGTATATATATATTTGGGGGGGGGGCGGGAATGAACAAATTCCTATGCCCCACAAATAACCCAGAGGTGCATTTTAAATAAAAGGACACATTCTACTCATGTAAAAACACCAGGCAGGCTCCACAAATAACCCAGAGACGCATTTTAAATAAAAGGACACATTCTACTCATGTAAAAACACGCTGATTCCCCGACCTTCCACAGGCCGGATTTAGAAGGCGATTGGGCTGGATCCGGCCCCCGGGCCTTAGTTTGCCTACCCATGATTTAAAGGAACAGTCAGGGAGAACATGTGTACAATAGACAAAGAAGCCATTTGAAGCTTCCATCTGAGGCAGCGGATTTGCACCAGACCAGCTACGGGCCCTTCCAGATTGATGCTGTTTCTGGATAGCAATCAGTCACACGCTGGCAAATATAGGCGGCACAATTAAATGCACTGGGAATTCTGGGATAGTAATGGCCTGACGCACGGTTTTGTAACTTCCTCGCAAACAAATCAGAATAAGCGCTCCATAAATGGCTAACCTTGCCTAAGCTCCCCACAAACTTTGTGCAAACAGATTAGGAGGAAGGCTCTGCAAGCTGGCAGTCTGGAACCAGCCCATATGCAATAAATAGACAGATATCTATTTAGCCATGTATGCAGGTGCATAGCTGTCAACTTTCCCCTTTTTTAAAGGGAAATTCCCTTATTCCAAATAGGATTCCTCGCAAGAAAAGGGAAAAGTTGACAGCTGTGTGCAGGTGGTTGGAATTTGATGCCTCAGATGGAAACGTTGTGTTCTTCCTTGTCTATCGTAATTGTCCTATTTGTTTTATTTTAAGCACATGTTGCACATATTATTATTAGTTTTTACAGCACATACCATTCAATTATATTTATTATAATATATAATGTGGGCATGATTTTCCTGCATTGAATTGAAATCCATGTCGAAAAATATTTTTGTTGAAAGCGACAACAACTTTCAGACTTCCTCAGGGCTTTCAATCTATCTGAGCAGGACAGGGGTCCATTTGAAACATACAGAAGCCAGCGGCAAAATTTGAATCCAGATCTGAAATCTGCCCCCCCAAAGCCCAGAGGAAATATTGATCCTTCTCCATTGCAGTTCATTGCATGTAGCCAAACATGGTTGTGTTGTGAAGACTGTGTTCTTTCTCTTCCAGGGGCGAAATGAGAAGAGACTTTAATTGCCATAGCTGTCAACTTACAGATTTGAAAATAAGGGACCAGCAGCCTCGAAAATGAGGGATCAGCAACCAAAATAAGGGATTTTCCGAACACAGGTATGTTCAACTTCTGAGCCCCTCTGAGCCAAAGGCAGAAAACCCAGTCAGCAGCCAAACGAAGCCTCAAGTGGTGGTTCCCACAGTGCAGCAACCCGGCAAAGGGGATGCAGCAAGGAAAACCACCATCACCTCTCTGCTGGGAAGCGCTGAGCAAAGGCGAGTCCCCAGGCAACGCGGCCGATTTGATCAGCACAAGGCATGCAAGCTCCACCCCCCAGTCATTCTTAGACTCCTTATTGGCTGAGCAATGCAGCCAAGCAACACAGTTGGAGCCTCCCTCCTCTCTGACCAGCAGGGAGGGAGGGAGAGGAGCTGCTTCCTTTGAAACCCGGAAAATTTAAGGGACATCATCAATAAGGGACAGCAGTGGGAAACGGAGCTGGGATAAGGGACTTTCCCACCAAATAAGGGACAGTTGACAGCTATGTTAATTGCACTTTTGAATCCCATGCCACAAAAAAGTAGCTACGGATTTCCCCAATAAAGGAAGGGTTATTCTGTGCCCCTGTGACATTTATCCTCTCTAAATCACCCTCCTTGCCAGCTCCGATTTGCTGCAATTTTTAACGACTGAACATTGCATAATTTTTTAAGAAATGCAGCGGGGCAGGGGCAGTTTTCAGTAGGAAAAGGAGAAGAGGTTAAACTCTCTCTCACCCCACTGCTCTGATCTGGACTGAGGCCCTTGAGAGGTTGCGTTTTGGAAAGAGCGAGACATGGAGAGTCTTAAAAGCACAATTAAAATCACACATAGGTGTTTGTTTGTTTTTTAGCCCTGACTAGTCTAAAAGTAGTAAAGTAGCGGAAATTGTGGTGTTGTTTTATTAGCGAAGTGGGGTTGTTCAGAAACGAGTTAGAAGCTTTTATTGGATTGTCGTGGGGTGCTCTTGGGTGTCTGAGAGCCGGGGAGCTCTGTCTTGGGGTAGAAAGCGCTGCTGCCACTCAGGGGGGTTAAGCAGACATCGTTCTCCTGCCTCTCCGATCCACCTTCTTCCTTGATGACCCACTCGGCTTGGCTTCCTTGGCTGAAGTGTTCTTCCTGCAAGCAAGAAAAAGGGTGAAATATACTCAGAGTCGAGAGTGGATTTCATGCTCTTTATTCAGCTCATAGTGGTGAGGAGGAAATGAAAGTTTCCCCAAAGTATCTGCTTTATATACATTATTTACACAATGGGCTGCACGTGATTGGCTAATTCTGGAATTCTCCTGTAGGCCAATCAGGTTGTGGATTCACTTCCACCTGGAGCTGGATTGGGTGGCTCCTGCAGGCCAATCATACTGCTGCCTTGTTCTAGGACCAATCAGACTGCTGCATTCTGAATCCTATTGTTCTAGGACCAATCAGACTGCTGCATTCTGAATCCTATTGTTCTAGGACCAATCAGACTGCTGCATTTTGGATCCTATTGTTCTAGGACCAATCAGACTGCTGCATTCTGGATCCTATTGTTCTAGGACCAATCAGACTGCTGCATTCTGGATCCTATTGTTCTAGGACCAATCAGACTGCTGCATTTTGGATCCTATTCAACTCAGTACATAACAAAGGGAAAGGCAGCTGCTCATTCAGAGGCTTATGGACAGAAGTGGGGAAGGACTTGCTGCAACAATAGGATTACAAGCAGGACTCTCCTCCCTCCATGGGTTCCTGAATCTGGTATTCAGAAGCATCACTTCCTCTTGTGGCAGGGAGTTCCAAAGTTTGACTATGCGGATTATCAAGCATTACTGAGGTGGAGAGGAGACACCAATGGGAATCTTTTCACTTTAAACCACCAGTCCACAGGGAAATGTAAAGGTGGGTTCAGATGATGCAAGAAACCAGAAACCAGCAGGGAAGGAGTGCTCGGAAAAAACACACACACACCACACACACACACTCTTTCAGTTTTACAATTTAAAACACTAATTTAAACATCCTTGAGATATCAGTGACTTTCCTTCTTCTCTTTCCATGGTTCATTTTGCATATTACAAATCCCTGCATATTGTACAAAAACTAAACCATTCAGTATTCTATCTATCAAAACTTATTTACACTGTTGAATTCATCTTAATGCTGCCAATGTTTTCAAATGTACACAATTCCCTCCCCAGGTACTCAAAAAACGTTTTCCACTCTTCTCTAAAGGTATGTTCTTCTTCTTCTCTTATTCTATATGTTAAGTCTGCAAGCTGCGCATATTCTTTCAGCTTATGTTGCCATTCTTCTTTAGTTGGGACCTCGCTCGTTTTCCATTTTGGGGCTAACAAAACATGGGCCGCAGTAGTGGCATACATATATAACCTTTTTTGCCACCTGGGAATCTCTGTCTGTATTATCCCCAACAAAAAAGACTCTGGTTTTTTTTGGAAAGGTGCTTTTAAACATTTTTTCCCCAATTCATTATGGATTATTTCCCAATACTCTTTTACCCTTTTACAACTCCACCACATGTGAAAGAACATTCCCTCAACCTCACTGAATCTCCAGCACTCATCTGATTCAGTCTTAGACATCTTAGCAAGCCTAGGTAAAGGTAAAGGGACCCCTGACCATTAGGTCCAGTCGTGACCGACTCTGGGGTTGCGGCACTCATCTCGCTTTATTGGCCGAGGGAGCCGGCGTACAGCTTCTGGGTCATGGGGCCAGCATGACTAAGCTGCTTCTGGTGAACTAGAGCAGCACATGGAAACGCCGTTTGCCTTCCCTATTTATCTACTTGCACTTTGACGTGCTTTCAAACTGCTAGGTTGGCAGGAGCAGGGACCGAGCAACGGGAGCTCACCCCGTTGCAGGGATTCGAACCGCTGACCTTCTGATCGGCAAATCCTAGGCTCTGTGGCGCCACAGCGCCACCCGCGTCCCTTTAGCAAGCCTACTCGGAGTTAAATGCCACCTGTAAATCAATTTCAAGACACTTCTGAGCAGTGTGGGCCAGCACAATTGTTGATTCGCATTGAACTACAGCAGGCTTCATCAACCTCGACCCTCCAGATGTTTTGGGCCTACAACTCCCATGATCCCTAGCTAGCAGGACCAGTGGTCAAGGATGATGGGAGTTGTAGTCTCAAAACATCTGGAGGGCCAAGGCTGAGGAAGCCTGAACTACAGTTTGTTTTAAGCTTGGGTTTCATGTCACTGGTGAACCAGGTCAAAGCCTTGGCCCCATTCTATTGCGTAGAGTGGACACCGTACTTTTCTGTGTATAACATGCCCCCGTGTATAAGACACCTTTTATTTGGGGGGACTAAAATTTCAGAAAAGGGGAGGGGGATTGCCCAGAGTTGTTGAGATTTTTTTTGGGGGGGGGGAGGATTGCCCAATGTGGATTCTGCACCCTGAGTAGATAGGATGTTGCAATTGGAACCTACAGATACCTACTTTGCTAATGTTGTTGAGAAGTTTGCTCACGGAGTCCTTGTTCTTGAATTTGCTTCTCTCCAGTCCCTCCAGTTTAACCACCAAGGCGTCCGTCTTGGATATGACCCCCCCAATGGAATGCTCCAGCTGCAGAACCCGTCTCAGGAGTCTGCGGAAGAAAGTGAGGTTTGTTCCTGTGCTGACCTCTTTGTGCATCAATCAGCAAAGGAGAGATTATTCCCATTCTCCACTTCTAGTTTTGAGCCCAACTCTTCCAAATTCGTTTGATATCAGAAGGGGAATATTAGACCCTCTGAGTGTCCCTATTTTCCAGGCACAGTCATGGATTTACAGAAGCCACCCCGGTTTCTGATTTCATCCCCAAATGCCCTGCTTTTCTCCTATTTTCATTGGAGAAATGTTGGATGGTATGGAGTTAGGCGACCCCTGAGCCAAGGAGTAAGTAGCCATACAACCAGTGTTTTTTTTTCTGGGGGGACGCAGGGGTATGCATACCCCTAAACATTTTGTGAATCTAACGGGAGAAGAAGCTAAAAATTTTAAATTTTAAAGGTTTTTTTCTAGCATGGTGAATCATCAGTTCCGTTGCTACCCCCGATGGCGGCCTTGTTTCCTGTCACAGTGTTTTTTCCTGAGTCTCAGACAGCAGCGAGTGTTTAACGTGTGAAGTAAGGTAAAGTAAAGGGACCCCTGACCGTTAGGTCCAGTCGTGGCCGACTCTGGGGTTGGGGCGCTCATCTCCCTTTATTGGCCGAGGGAGCCGGCGTACAGCTTCCGGGTCATGTGGCCAGCATGACTAAGCCGCTTCTGGCGAACCAGAACAGCGCACTGAAACGCCGTTTACCTTCCCGCCGGAGCGGTACCTATTTATCTACTTGCACTTTGACGTGCTTTCAAGCTGCTAGGTTGGCAGGAGCAGGCACCGAGCAATGGGAGCTCACCCCTTCGTGGGGATTTGAACCACCAACCTTCTGATCGGCAAGTCTTAGGCTCTGTGGTTTAACCCACAGCGCCACCCACATCCCAACGTGTGAAGTAAGAGTTAATAATAATAATAATTTATTATTTATACCCCACCCATTTGGCTGGGTTTCCCCAGCCACTCTGGGCGGCTTCCAACCAAATATTAAAACAATACAATACAGTTGAAATCTAGCACTGTGATTGGTTAGTTTTATTGTTACCACCTCCAATGGCTGCCTCATTTCCTTTCCTGGTGTTTCCTGAGTCTCAGACAGAAGCGAGCATTTAATGTGTGAAGCAGTGTGGAATGTGGATGTGTGGTGTTTTACTGATAAAAGTTTGGCCTCACTGAGGGGCAGTATTTCAATATGAGTAATGCATGTTCTTTGTACTTTTGTCCATTTACTGTATTTATTTTATATTTGAACTATAAAATGGTGATTTTATTGAGTGAAACGAGAGTACCCCTGAACATTTTTTAAAGAAAAAAAGCACTGTATACAACCATTAGAAGACATCTAAGGCAGCCCTGTAGAGGGAAGTTTTTTAAATGTGTACTGTTTTATTGTGTTTTTATATATGTTGGAAGCTGCCAAGAGTGGCTGGGGCAACCCAGTCAGGTGGGCGGGGTATAAATATTATTATTATTATTATTATTATTATTATTGAATAGGACATCCCTATTTTCATCAGAGAAATGTTGGAAGGTATGGAGTATAGGCGCCATACCTATGTTTTGCATAATACATAATTTAGTGATCTCTTTTTGGGTGTGTATATTCTGATGAGTGTATTTGACAGGTACTAATAAAATTAAATAATAATACAGACGTTTGGAACTCCTCCTCAGACACCAGGCTAGATTTGTTTCCTTGATTGTTCTTTGCATCCGCAATGGCAAATGGGCCGTCCAAATTGTTGTCTCTGAAGGATTTCCCCAAATTCTCAATTTCTGCATTCAAAGCAACCTAGGAAAGAAGAAGCAGCCAATCATTTTTATCGTGTTCAGGTTTGACCATCGTGCTTTTAAAACTCAGGACCACAGTCCAAGGTACTCCTGTGACACAGAGTGAAAATGCATCCTTACTCTCTTCTCCTCCAAGTCGTTCCGCATTCTCTTCTGCTCCTCCTCATCCAGAATCTGGTTCCCATCTTTATCGAACTTTGCAAAGGCTGCTGTGATCTCGTGCTCAGCATGGCCAAGCCTAAGGAAGGAAGGACAGCAGGAGAGAGAATTGAACTGAAACACAGGCCCTGAACACCTAACATTCTTATTATAGATGAAAAGTTCGGCAAAACGCTTTGGCCACCCCTTCAGCATATGCTGTGAGTGTGGGATGTGATACATGAGGAGCAGTCAAGTACAACATTCCTTCTTTTCCTAGAGAAGACATCTGGGGGAATTGTGATGGCCTGGGATTCGGACTCGGAGGCTGAACCTGAGGAATCCCAGCCTGCACAGGATTCCCCGCCTCCAGAACCAGCTGAGCCAGGGCTGGGGCTTGAGCCTGAAGGGTCCTCACCTGTGCTGGATCCTCATGTGCAGGCATCAGCTGAGTCTGCTCTGGCTCCTGAGGTGATGGAGGACCCATTGTCTGCTGGTGCTCCACTCTCAGCCCCGTCAGGGGAAGCTGAGGTTGCCTCTGGGTCTGGTAACCCTTTGGCCTCTCCTGAGCTGCAGAGGCTCAGGGCAGAGAGGCGGAGGGAACTAAGTTCCCGCAGGAGGAGTGCTTGCCTCCAGGCCAGGAGAGGTGAGTCACCTGTGGACTGGGGCTGCCCTATGCCTCAGGGCAGATAAAAGCCAGCCAGCCCAGTCCCAGGTTGCGGAAGCAACATTGTTGGTAGCCTGTTCCTGCCTGCAACCTGTCCTGCCGGATCTCCTGACCTCGCCCGACTCCCTACTTTGGACCCAGCTTCAGCTTTGACGGCCGGCCTCAATACTGCACCCTCAACCTCGGACTGAACTCGGACCACACCTCATAGAAACCCACGGGACCAGCACAGGAATGTTTGGTCCAGCCAGTCAAAAACTCCGTTTCCTCCTGGCTTGGAGCATCCTTCCTCTTGCATGTGACTAGAGGTGGGCGTGACCTTACCTGCCCATGTAACAAAAAGGGCAAGGCACGCAACACACTTTCTTCTTTTCGACTCTTCTCCATCTTCCTTCCGTCATGTGAACTGCAGGACTGCTAGCCTGCAGTCACTGGGATTATTCCCCCATATGGGATCGATCCAAATGTACAGTATATACTTTGTAACTATGTCTGCCTTCAGGGATCCAACTGTGAACTGATGATGTGAGTAAACTTGTGTACTTTAAACAAGATTGTGGCGTGTTCATTCTTTTAAGAGGGATAATAAGGGGACTTACCAGGAACTTTATTGTGAGAGGCTTAAACGAGCCTGCAACCAGCTATTTGCTGTGCGTTTAAAAGGGGAATGTAAAACTTTGCTAAGTTATAGAACTTGCTAGCGCAAGTTAGGAAGGATATTAATAAACAATATATCCTCTCCTGCCTCCCTGAACATTCCCACAGTGAGACTAAGATATGTGAGGAAGTCTAGCATCAAACATTGTTTGTTGGCTGATGCCAGTCTGCAGTATGAGGTACTTCCGTGAAGGTTCTCTGCAAGCTCTGAAGCAACTTACTCTCTCAAGCTGTTCTTAAAGTCTTCAAATTCCAGCTCCTTGGTCCCTTTCTGCAAAGCTTTTTGCACATCAGAGATCCGGTCTTTTTTCAGCTTCAGCTTCATTAGGGTCCTATTATAGCCCTAGAGTTAAAAGATGCATAGAAAAATTCAGCCTTGCTGCCTCACCCTGCTGCAGGCAGAGAGAAGAGGTATGGCAGCAACATGAACAGTCTGGAATATGGTCACAATGAAATCAGCATAATCCTTCACAAGACATCAAAGTGAGTTCACATGTCCCCACCCCGCAGACCTTCCAGTTCTCTCTGCAGTGTGTCTGAAGAGCTTAATAATAATAATAATAATAATAATAATAATAATAATAATGGTGGAGAGTGGCTTGCACACTAATAATAATAATATTTTTTATTATTTATACCCCACCCATCTGGGCATCTTACAGCATATCTAAAAACATAATAAAACCATCAAGCATTTAAAACCTCCTGATACAAGGCAGCCTTGGATGTCTTCTAAAGAACCAGTGTGGTATAGTGGTTAAGAGCGTTAGACTCGTAATCTGGTGAACTGGGTTCGCTTCCCTGCTCCTCCACATGCAGCTGCTGGGTGACCTTGGGCTAGTCACACTTCTCTGAAGTCTCTCAGCCTCACTCACCTCACAGAGTGTTTGTTGTGGGGGAGGAAGGGAAAGGAGATTGTTAGACGCTTTGAGACTCCTTCGGGTAGTGATAAAGTGGGATATCAAATCCAAACTCTTCTTCTTCTAAAAGTTATGTAATTCTTTATCTCCTTGACATCTGATGGGAGGGCGTTCCACAGGGCGGGCCCCACTACCAAGAAGGCCCTCTGTCTGGTTCCCTGTAACCTCACTTCTCACAATGAGGGAACCACCAGAAGGCCCTCGGTGCTGGATCTCAGTGTCCGGGCTGAACGATGGGGGTGGAGACACTCCTTCAGGTATACTGGGCTGAGGCCGTTTAGGGCTTTAAAGGTCAGCACCAACACTTTGAATTGTGCTCGGAAATGTACTGGGAGCCAGTGAAGATCCTTTAGGATCGGTGTTATATGGTCCTGGCGGCTACTCCCAGTCACCAGTTTAGCTGCCGCATTCTGGATTAGTTGTATTTTCTGAGTCCCCTTCAAAGGTAATGTTGTGGGTGAACGTATCAGACGACACAGCGATTCTTCAGACAGCTCTTGTTTATTCACAGGCCAGAACAGAACAGAACTGAAGGGTTCAGCCAGCCTGCTTATATAGAGCTCCACTACAACGCAACAGTAACCACTTTCTGTAACTAGCCAATCACCGAACGTCACCTTCAATCCCTTATTTGCATATGTGGACCTGAGTGAAAACTATCTACAGTATCCCCCTGCTGACCCAGGGTGAGAACTTCAGTACATAACAGGTAGCCCCATGTAGAGTGTATTGCAGTAGTCCAAGGGGGAGATAAGCTGTTCCTCCCTCTTCCCTCTTCCCGGCATCCAGCGTGATGCATAACAGTGGGGCAGAAGGACCCATAGTTTTGTGGGCCTTGAGGAAATTATGCATCCCAAGGGTTGCTGGGGTTCTGTATGCCAGGGTGCTGCCATGTAGCATCTGAAGCTGCAGAAATTGGGAGGAGGAAGAGACCGCTCTTCTTTTCCCTCCTTACGGCTTCTGAAGTAGAGCCTTTGTTGTTTCAGGATGTGGGGGTTCAAAAGGAAAGGGGGGTGTGTGTTTCTGTAGCAGGTCACCTAATTTTGAAGCTGGTGTGGGGGAATCTTGCCTAGAGTCAACCTTAATCCTCTATCAGGTTTATCCCCCACACCATTCATTGACAGGATTCAAACAAACACCCCAAATTCCCCTCTCCCCATCACCTATTGTTTCACAGAAAAGCCTTATAATGGTGAGCGTTTTCTCAATGCGCAAACCCTCCGAAACATAATCCACATTTTACAGGAGAGGAAATGTGGATTTCAATTAATGAAGGAACCTGTTTCAGGATGTCTGTGAGCTGCAGTTCATTCTTCTGGTTTGAAAGCTCCTCTTTGACTTCAGAATACGTGTCGTTGATAATAGCCAGGAACATGTTCTGTGGGAAGAGAAACAGAAGGGTCAGTTCCTCCATGTGGACTAGACACATAAAGCACCTTCTTTGCTCCATGGAGCAAATGAAAGTAAATTATACCTCCCAACTTTAACACTTCAAGAATCTTAAAATATATATAGGCTCAACTGCTGTCACAGATAATGTAGTCTTTCCCACTCCACCTATTTAGTGGCAGTGCCAAAAAGAAGGAAATGTGCCACAAGCCACCTAGAGCCACAAGAGAGCCAGTGTGGTGTAGTGGTTAAGAGCGGTAGTCTCGTAATCTGGGGAACCGGGTTCGTGTCTCCGCTCCTCCACATGCAGCTGCTGGGTGACCTTGGGCCAGTCACACTTCTATGAAGTCTCTCAGCCTCACTCACCTCACAGAGTGTTTGTTGTGGGGGAGGAAGGGAAAGGAGGATGTTAGCCGCTTTGAGACTCCTTAAAGGGAGTGAAGGGCAGGATATCAAATCCAAACTCTTCTTCTTCTTCTTCTAGTTCAGTGCTGGGGGGGGACATAGTATTATAGCCCCCACAATCCCTGACCATTGCATACCCTCCAACATTTCTCGCATGAAAATAGGGACGCCCCCTTCCATAATGATAATTTTACTATTTATACACCATCTAGGGACGTGGGTGCTGTGGTCTAAACCACTGAGAATAGGGCTTGCCGATTGGAAGGTCGGCAGTTCGAATCCCAGCGACAGGGTGAGCTCCCGTTGCTTGGTCCCTGCTCCTGCCAACCTAGCAGTTCGAAAGCACACCAGTGCAAGTAGATAAATAGGTACCGCTGTGGTGGGAAGGTAAACGGCGTTTCCGTGCACTGCTCTGGTTCGCCCGAAGCGGCTTAGTCATGCTGGTCACATGACCCGGAAGCTGTATGCCAGCTCCCTCGGCCAATAAAGTGAGATGAGCGCCACAACCCCAGAGTCATCCGCAACTGGACCTAATGGTCAGGGGCCACTTTACCTTTACCTTTACCCCACACATCCTACTGAGTTGCCCCAGCCACTCTGGGTGGCTTCCAACACATATGAAAACATAATAAAACATTGAAAAAACTTCCCTAAATAGGATTGCCACCAGACGGCTTGGGGGGTCAGATAACTCAATACCCTCCCCAACATTTCTCCAGTGAAAATAGGGACGTCCTACCAAACCCTCCAACATTTCTCCAATGAAAATAGGGACGTCCTAAGGAAAAGCAGGACATTCCGGGATCCAATGAGAAACTGGGACGGCTTCTCTAAATCAGGGACGTCCCTGGAAAATAAGGACACTGGGAGGGTTTGCCATTGGCCATGCTGGTTCGGGCTGATTAGAGCTGGAGCCCAAAAACTTTTGGAGGGCTACAGGTTCCCTACCCCTGACCTAGACAAACTGAGAAGAAAAGAAGATGGAGGTGCAAAACTCTTCTTCACGACACCACTTATAAGCACTCTTGCTTAAGACTTGCTCGATGCAAAGAACTGCTGCTTGCTCCAGGCAGCACTGCTTTGAGCAATCCCGAATAAAATATACAAGCACTTTTGTTTCGTTAAGTCTGGAACCACTGCTTCACACTCCCTGTATCATAAGGGACAACGCCCTGGGACCCTGGGTGCCCAAGCACCCACAAAATTCCCCATGAAGGGGCTGGGCACCCACAAATTTCAGTGCCAGAGAAGAAGAAGAAGAAGAAGAAGAGTTTGGATTTGATATCCCTCTTTATCACTACCTGAAGGAGTCTCAAAGCAGCTCACATTCTCCTTTCCCTTCCTCCCCCACAACAAACACTCTGTGAGGTGAGTGGGGCTGAGAGACTTCAGAGAAGTGTGACTAGCCCAAGGTCACCCAGCAGCTGCATGTGGAGGAGCAGAGGCGCGAACCCGGTTCCCCAGATTACGAGTCTACTGCTCTTAACCACTACACCACACTGGCATGGCACCCACAGCCCCGGGCTTCCCATGGTCACGAGGCCAAGCTGGGACTCCTGCCATCTTGTTTGCAATATTTTGTTGGTGTAAAGCAGAAAGATTTCCCAAATCTAGAGCAAAGCCCTACATTGAGCTGTTGTGACAATAATCTGTTTGTTTGTTTGCCTGATGGTGTATAACTTGAGAACAGCATCTAATATATTCCAAAATGCAGGAGGTCTTGGAGTGGTTTCCAGCTGGCAAATTTGCAGCTTCATCTCTTTGCAAAATACCAATGCATTTGCTCCTAGCTGCTTGGCTCAGAGGTCACATCACTTCATACCCTCTAACATCTTTCCGAAGAAAAAAGGGACGTCTTAAGGGAAAGTGGGGCATTCCGGGATCAAATCAGAAACAGGGATGGCTTCTGTAAATCCAGGACTGTCCCTGGAAAATAGGGACGCTTGAGAAACAGCGGTAATCTCTGTAAAAGGTACCCCTGACCATTAGGTCCAGTCGTGGCCGACTCTGGGGTTGCGACACTCATCTCGCTTTATTGGCCGAGGGAGCCGGCGTACAGCTTCCAGGTCATGGGGCCAGCATGACTAAGCCGCTTCTGGTGAACCAGAGCAGCACACGGTATCGCTGTTTACCTTCCCGCCAGAGCGGTACCTATTTATCTACTTGCACTTTGATGTGCTTTCGAACTGCTAGGTTGGCAGGAGCAATAGAAAGCAATAACGCACAACTTACCAACAGCACAAAGAAGACAAAGAAGACGTAGGTGACAAAATATATCGGCCCCAAGACCCGGTTAGCGTTGTCAATGGCGTTGTAGTCAAAGTCGCCGAGGATTATTCGAAATTGGGTGAAGCTGGAAGGTAGGAAGAGGGCGAGGGTCAGTGATGTATGGCAGAATGCCTCGCTGGGTGCAAAAAATAAGTTCAAGTGGTAAATATGTCACCGTGTATCCCTAGACCTTGAATGGAGGAGCTCAGGGCTTTGGCAGTCTAGAATTAGAGCTTTGCAGTGCTGTGCTGGGCTTGTAATACACCTACTTCCCATGTCAGAACCTTCTGTGCACAAAACATATAACTGAAGTTGTAAGGTTAGTGCCTCAGTGGGGAACCTCTTCGTCCCACCAGGCCTCCCCATTTGGTCCATGAAGTAGGAGCCACCTGTCCATTTCCTGAAATCACTGGGCATCAGGTGCAGGGCAGGTCAAGCTGTGGGGCCAAATTCAAGCAGAAAGTGGGGGGCTGCTTGCATCCGCAATAGCTTATGATATCCTTAATGAGAGAGATTAGGGTCAGAAGGTGTCAGGGACTGGGCAGAGGGGGAATGGTGGAGACCGCCTCCCCATCCTGACCCTCCCAGGGAGGAGGAAGAGGAAGACAGTATAGATTTACAGCAGGGAGTTGAGGAAGGTAGCAACTCAGTGCTTACCAACCTATGTGGTGGCATGCGACCAAAAACCTTAAAGGAGGGTGAGGAGGAGGAGGAGAAGGAAAGGGAGGCCCACTCACATGCATTTGACAAAGGTGCTGAAGTTTTCCACTTGGGTCCCGAAGAGAAGGTATCCCAGCTGGGCGTAGGCAAAGAAGACGATGAAGAACATGATGGCAAAGCCTAGAATGTCCTTCGCACAGCGAGCTAAGGTGGAGGAGAGCTGTGTCATCGTTTTGTTAAAGCTAATGTATTTGAATATCTGGATGGGGAAGGAAAAGAGAAGGACAGGTTAAGGACAGGTTAAAGTGAGATGGGATGAGGAGAAAGTCTGGGGGAATTTATGGACTTCCTCTTAAGTGACAAAGATTGACAGGGCGCTAATGGTATACAGTGGTACCTCGGGTTACATATGCTTCAGGTTACATACGCTTCAGGTTACAGACTCCGCTAACCCAGAAATAGTGCTTCAGGTTAAGAACTTTGCTCCAGGATGAGAACAGAAATCGTGCTCCGGCAGCGTGGCGGCATCAGGAGGCCCCATTAGCTAAAGTGGTGCTTCAAGTTAAGAACAGTTTCAGGTTAAGTACGGACCTCCGGAACGAATTAAGTACTTAACCTGAGGTACCACTGTACCTCAGATGCAGGTCTTCTGTGGCTGATGGTTTGAGGGAGCAGGGTGTGTCTGTTCCATACTCTCCAGCATACCTCTGTTGAAAACAGAAAATGTCCCCTCCAATATGGGGTTGTCTGTATGGGTATCAGGTTGTAAGGGGTTGTGCTGTGGTTGTGCGGCAGTTCCTCAGTCTTCCAAACAGGCCTGTTTTATTCATGACAAAAGGGGCAGACATTGCACACAACATCCGGTAGGTGGCTCCCTCTGCAAATTTTGTCATCCTGGAAATTTTTCATTTCAACATTTAAAACGCATGCACCCCATATTGTCTAGCCAGCAGCTGCTGCCTTAGGCTTCAATGGAGCAGCGACACCTGAATGACTTTTGAACCACTCAGGACTTCACCCAGCCAATGAAAGCATGCCGTCCTCAGCCAGCTTGAGTACAGCACATAAATAGTTTTTGACAAAAACCAGAGAGGGAGAATGATATGCCTTGTAAAGAACCACAGTTAAAAGTGTTGAGGGGTACATTTTCAGCATGTTTCCAGTTGCTGTGGTAGGGTTGCCACCCATCCTGTATAATACAGGATCGTCCCGCATTTCAATGTAAAATATTACATTCTGTATTCATTCAATACAGCATGTTGTTTGCACTGTATTTCCGCTCTGCTTTGTGCCTCGGACGTGACTTCTGGTGTTTCACGAGGCACCAGAAGTTGCTTTAGGGGCCATGCGGTGTGGGTGCTGGGCACCCACCCAAAAATTTTGGTGGGTGCTCAAGCACCCAGGGTCCCCTAGAGATGGCACCCTTGGAGGGCAGGGGAGAAGATGAGGGTGAAGGAGACTGAGCGGAGATATGACAGACATCTTCAAGTATCTGAAGGGCTGTCACATGGAGGAGGGAACAAGCTTGTTTTCTCCTGCTCTGGAGAGTGGGACCAGAACCCATGGCTTCAAGTTACAAGAAAGGAGATCCCAACTAAACATCAGGAAGAACTTCCTGACAATAAGAGTTGTTCAATAGTGGAACGGTCTCCCTTGAGAGGTTGTGAACTCTCCTCCCTTGGAGGTTTAGAAGCAGAGGTTGGGTAGCCATCTATCATAGATGCATCAGTTGAGATTTCTGCAGGGATTGGGTTAGATGGCGCTTGGGGTCCCTTCCAACTCTATGATTCTATGCATTATATATATATATAAAATATTTATTAATGATTCTATGCATAATATAGATGCTCCATCCTAGGAGTGCTGGAATCTTTGGCTGACAACAAACGGATTCATAGTCAGGAAGCCAAGTTTTTATCTTGTATATCGCCCTGTTATCCTCAGATGAAGGGCAGTATAGAAATCAGATAGATAAATATATAGATGATAGATAGGTAGATAGATAGATGATAGATGATAGATGATAGATGATAGATGATAGATAGATAGATGATATAGATAGATAGATGATAGATAGATAGATAGATAGATAGTTAGATGATAGATAGATATAGATAGATAGATGATAGATAGATAGATAGATAGATAGATGATAGATGATAGATAGATAGATGATAGATAGATAGATGATAGATGATAGATGATAGATAGATGATAGATGATAGATGATAGATGATAGATAGATAGATAGATAGATAGACAGATAGATAGATACCTTGATCCAGGCAAAGAACAAGTTCACAGCGTTCATGTTGTTGTACTGAGTCTGCCAAAAAGCCAGGAATTCAAAGTCCGCATAGATGCTGGGGTTTCTCAGAAGCTGTCCCATCAACCTGTTGACCTCAATGGTGCGAAAGATGTGGAATCCGATGGCTACAATAGAAAGCTGAGGAGAAAACCCTGGGATTTAAAGGAAATTCTACAGAGAGTGGAGCCTCATCATTCTTTCGGACTTTCTGTAGCCATATTGCTTGACTACACCAGGGGTGGGGAACATCACATATGACGTCAGGTGTGAGAAAGGTTGGCCCAAAGGGACTTTGACAGCACTGCTGGTTGTCGGGTGCTTTAGAACTGCTGAACAAATTGTTTTGCCACCCTTGTGCTTGGTGCCTAGGAAAGATACCATGCCCTATCACACCCTCCCAATGAAGGTGTCCCAATGAAGGTTCATTAGGTGAAAGTGCATTTTCGAATGAAGACTATTGGGGCAAGGCAGTTTCTCTTGTCGCCTGCTAATTAGTTGAGAAACAATTCTAATTTCTGCAAAGGTGAGATTGCAATCATACTTAACATAGTTAGCTGCTTCGCATATTGCATACCACCAGTGCCGGATTTACATATAAGCTAAACAAGCTATAGCTTAGGGTCCCACTCTCTTGGGCCCCCCCCAAAATTAAAGAAAAAAAACCTGGATGTACATTTCCAAAATATAAGATAAAAAACAAATAAAACCTACATGCAGCAGGTACAGTGGTGCCTCGCAAGACGAAATTATTTCGTTCCGCAAGTTTTTACGTCTTGAGGTTTTTTTCGTCTTGCGAAGCACGGTGTCGGAAAAGCTTTGGAAAAGCTTCAAAAATCACCAAAGTCTTCAAAAACCTCAAAAAAGGCTACCACACCGCGTGCTATGAGTTGCTACTCGAAGTCAAGTCGCCACTGTATTAACGGTTTTAAGAAAAAGGAAACAAACTTGCAAGACGTTTCCGTCTTGCGAAGCAAGCCCATAGGGAAAATCGTCTTGCGAAGCAACTCAGAAAACCAAAACCCCTTTCGTTTTGCGAGTTTTCCATCTTGCGAGGCATTCGTCTTGCGAGGTACCACTGTATTGGTGTTGTGTAGGCTCCTATGATGTAAGTCATGGGCCCCGCCTGCTAGCTTGCTCCCTAAAATATCACTGGTTTGCTGATTTCTATATATAGGGTACCTACATTCTGCAGGGAATGGTTGCATGGCAACATGTAGCATGCAGCTGCAGACTGCAGTGCAGCACAGTTGAATGTAGGTCAAGCTGTTGTACCTGTTAGGTAAAGGTAAAGGGACCCCTGACCATTAGGTCCAGTCGTGCCCGACTCTGGGGTTGCGGCGCTCATCTCCCTTTATTGGCCGAGGGAGCCAGCGTACAGCTTCCGGGTCATGTGGCCAGCATGACTAAGCCGCTTCTGGTGAACCAGAGCAGTGCACGGAAATGCTGTTTACCTTCCCGCCGGAGTGGTACCTATTTATCTACTTGCACTTTGACATGCTTTCAAACTGCTAGGTTGGCAGGAGCAGGGACCGAGCAACGGGAGCTCACCCCGTCGCGGGGATTCAAACTGCCGACCTTCTGATCGGCAAGTCCTAGGCTCTGTGGTTTAACCCATAGCACCACCCGCATCCTGTTATACCTGTTAATATTAAAATACATATTTTTTTATGTGCAAATGGCTTTAGATACCTATGAGGTCCATAAATTACCATATAGCATATATTCAACATGAAAAACAGCACCAATTTGTTGTTGACAAAGGACAGCTGGAGATATAAAGGGCCCCATTACCTTCAGTAGCCTAGGGCTACTGAATCAAACCTAAATCCGGCCCTGCATACCATCCAAGTGTCCCTGTTTTCCAGGGACAGTCCCAGATTTACAGAAGCTGTCCCAGTTTCTGATTTGACCCCAGAATGTCCCCCTTTTGCTTAGGACGTCCCTATTTTCATCAGATGAATGTCGGAGGGTATGTTGTTTCCCTGTCTTTCTCTGATCTGATCTGTGCTGCTCTCCTTGTCAGCTCCCAGACAACCTTAGTCTTTGGTGGAGGGGCGGTTGCAGCCTCTGCCTGCCCCTCTAAAAGTGCAGAGGTATCCTATTAAAGGGATCCAGGAGGAGCTGCTTTTGTCTGGAAACCCAGTGTCAGGAGTCCAGGTTCTCAGCTTGATAACACAGTAAGTGAAGCTAATTAAAAAGGAGGATTTATTGCAAAAAAAACCCAGATAGCTCCGGGCGGCTGGAACAAAGCCTCCGGCACCATTATTCAAGACCAGAAGCAACTGAACTTTCGCTTCTGACGTCTTTCGTTTTGCTTCCTATCCTACAGCCCTCCCATTCGTCGAGATCTCAGACTGAGTGGGTCAGCTCCCGCCTCTTCCCCGTTCTCTGAGAGGCTGTCTCTTAACTCTTTCCTGCCTGTTTGTACTTCTGGCGAGCTTTGACTGCGTTCTAGCCTGCTCTCCGTTCCTGTCTTATCAGCTTGCACATCAAGATCAGGAGGAGCCGGAGTATGCAGCTGCTGGTTTTCCCCTGTCTGACTAACATCAAAGCCGCCTCTCTGTTCCTGGCTGTTTTCTGCATTTAGCTGCAACTTTTCGCTTGGAGCTGACTCATTCCTGACACCCAGGCAGGGGCAAGGGCCATAGCACTCCTCAAGGTGTCAATCCCACAGGGGGGACCTCCTTGATGTGTGTCATTAGGTCCTCTTCTCCTCGGGTTGACCCCAAATGGTATACAGTGGTACCTCGGGTTACATATGCTTCAGGTTACATATGCTTCAGGTTACAGACTCCGCTAACCCAGAAATAGTACCTCGGGTTAAGAACTTTGCTTCAGGATGAGAACAGAAATCGTGCTCCGGTGGCGTGGCGGCAGCTGGAGGCCCCATTAGCTAAAGTAGTGATTCAGCTTAAGAACAGTTTCAGGTTAAGAACGGACCTCCGGAACAAATTAAGTACTTAACCCGAGGTACCACTGTATAGCTCAGCAGGCAGGCTGATGGTCAAATTAGTTCCCCAATAACTTGCCAAACCCTTCATCTGTCATCAATAAAAGTTGTGGCCTTCTTGGACCCAAGCGATGTGTCTTTCCTGTGTAAAATTTCAGTGGTTCGTTCAATATGAATGGAAAGAAATCTCACCAATATGACAACGATGTCCAAGATGTTCCAGATACTGGTGAAGTACTTGAGCCTGTGAATGCGCAGCTCCAAGATCTCTTCCACCACGTAGTAGAAGATGAAGACGCAGAAGACGATCTCACAAGCGACAATGAAGAAGTCCCAGGTGCTGACATAGCGGAGGAGCTTCACTGTTCGGATCTGCCACGAAGGGATGGCTCCACCGGTGGCTGGGAATTCGATCACTAACCTAGTATGGAGGGAAGAGAATGTTTATGGGCAAAAACCAATGCTGCACTTTCCATTGACGTGCCTCAAAGAAGAATGGCAGATCAATAGGCGTATATACAAAACGTGATTGAAAGATGAACTCACCCGCTCTGCAAATTGGTTTTGTAACTATTCTGCAGTCTTTGGTAATAATTCTTATTAGTTTTCAATTGCATTCCAATAATAGCCTCATTATAACAATGCCAAATTATAATACAATTACTAATACCAGTCATCCTGATACCAAATTAAATACAGTGGTACCTCGGGTTAAGTACTTAATTCGTTCCGGAGGTCCGTTCTTAACCTGAAACTGTTCTTAACCTGAAGCACCACTTTAGCTAATGAGGCCTCCTGCTGCCGCTGCACGATTTCTGTTCTCATCCTTTAGCAAAGTTCTTAACCCGAGGTACTATTTCGGGGTTAGTGGAGTCTGTAACCTGAAGCGTCTATAACCTGAAGCGTATGTAACCTGAGGTACCACTGTAATTTAGGTGCCCCCCCCCAGCTGTCAATGTTTTCCTTTTTTTAAAGGGAAATTCCCTTATTCCGAATAGGATTCCTCGCAAGAAAAGGGAAACGTTGACAGCTATGACCCCCCCCCCACGTGCTAGAATTGATGGTTTAACGATTTTCTTTATTTCTGCGTTCCAAAATCTTATTAATTTCAATCACACTCCAGTCGAGATAACAATTCCTTGTACAACAACTGCAATATTAACAACTTCCCTTTGTATTGACACATTAAATGACATATGAAATGGGTAACAGATGGTCACTCACCTCAGAACGCAGAAAAGGTTGATATTGGCATTGTACACAGAAAAGTCAATGAAAACCACGCGAGTTCCCCGATTCAGCCACAAGTTTTCTTTCAGGACTCGGAGAGCTCTAGCGCTTTCCCGACGGGTCATTTTGAGATCCATGTAATAACCTCCTCCGCTGTAACTTGTCAGCCGGCCCCAGTGAGAGGAACCGTCCAGTTCTTCCTCTGTGTGGTATTGCCACCTGCACACGGAAGGCGCGACAAGAGAAAGAGGGGGCTGACGGACAAAGCCAAAATGTTATCTATTCCAGACTCGGGATGCCATGTGCATATTGCACATGAATTCCCCCCCCCTCCAAAAAAGATTTAACTTAATGCCCCAGAGGTGCACATAACCAGTAACACAGTTCTTGGGACTCTGGCCAATATTCTTTACAGCAAATATTTTCGGAACCCTTTATGCGACGTTGGCTCACTCTGCGCTGAAACAAGGCATGGAGCGAATGCGCAGGCTTCCAGAATGGAGATTATGGCTGGCCTCTTTGCTCCCCCACAGGTCCTGCTCCTCCTGTTTGGCTCCATGGTTAGGCTTAGCATGTTATCCGAACCCCGGGTTCATGGTTTATCTAAAGGTAAGAACTATCGCCTTGAAGGGGCGCGGGTGGCGCTGTGGGTTAAACCACAGAGCCTAGGACTTGCCGATCAGAAGGTCGGCGGTTCATATCCCCGTGACGGGGTGAGCTCCCGTTGCTCGGTCCCTGCTCCAGTCAACCTAGTAGTTCGAAAGCACGTCAAAGTGCAAGTAGATAAATAGGTACCACTCCGGTGGGAAGGTAAACAGCGTTTCCGTGCGCTGCACTGGTTCGCCAGAAGCGGCTTAGTCATGCTGGCCACATGACCCGGAAGCTGTACGCCGGCTCCCTCGGCCAATAAAGCGAGATGAGCACCGCAACCCCAGAGACGGTCACAGCGCCACCCGCGTCCCTCAAAATAGAATAGGACATGCCTATTTCCATCAGAAAAGCATTGGAGGATATGAAGGTGTAGACGTTAATTTTGCTTTCCAACCAGTGCAGGATTTACATATAAGCTAAGCAAGCTATAGCTTAGGGCCCCACTCTCTTGGGGGCCCCCAAAAAAAATAAAGGGGAAGAAAACCTGGATGTACATTTCCAAAATGTCTACATTTTTCAGGGAATGGTTGCATGGCAACATGTGCAGATGGCTTTAGATACCTATTACATCCATCAATTACCATATAGCATACATTCAATGCGAAAAACAGTGCCAATTTGTTGTTGACAAAGGGCAGCTGGAGATATAAAGGGCCCCATTACCTTCAGTAGCTTAGGGCCTCATCAAACCTAAATCCGGCCCTGCTTCCAACGGTGGAGAGGATGACCAAATTCTTAGTTTGTGAAACTCAAAAAAGGCAGAAGTTATGATCTACTCACGCTGTTCCATTGAGGAGCCCAAAGGGGGACCTGTCTTCCTTCTCCTCACTGTAGACATCATAACAGCCAAAAATGTCTTCCTTGAAGTCTTCGTGCACCACACACGAGTTGTTCTGCACCTTCAGTTGACGCATTCGTGGGACCCCCAGCAGCAAATTCTCGTAATAGATGTATGACTGAGTGTTGTGGCCTAGAGATTCGTTGTTATACCACTTGGTCCAATACAAGCTGTCCAATAATGGGCCTTGAGTATACTGTGGAGATATGCAGAAAGGGGCAAGAAGAAGGACGTGAGATCTGAGACAGCAACAACACACAGAATGGCCGGAGACTGGAAACTAGGGTTGCCATATTCCTAAAATCCACACAAAGTTGTTGAACTTTTTGGGGGGAACATCCCCTCCCCCCATCAAGTTTTCAGGCTTTTCTTGGATTTTTAAAGCATTTTATAAAAAAAAAATCGCCCTACTTGCCATACGTCCGGATTTCCCCAGACATTTTGCCGATTCAGCCAAAATCCGCCCGGCCGCCATTTTTGCAACCCGATTCCCTTATGTGTCCAGGAAAACCCACATGTATAGCAGCCCTACTGGAAAACTGCCTTTCTCATATGGCTAAATGTATTATTGGGTTCTGTTTGCAGAGATTCTCAGTTTAAAAGGGGATGGGGAGCAGTTAGGACTCTCCTTGTATAACAGGCCTCTCTAAAAGGTTGGGGAGCAGAGCCAAGTTGGGAGTGCACTGGGGGTGAGGCAAGCAGATAAGAGTTATGACTCTGAGCACCCGAGGGTGGGAGAGTCCCTTTGTGTGTGCTGGGGGAAGTATCTTTGCCAACGGGCTACTAGCTGACATGTGCACAAATTGCTAACGCATGATGGCATGGGCTGTGTGTACATTTTCTCACATAGCTCATTGTGCAGTCACCAACACAACTGATTCCCAAGTCCAGGCAGGCTTGATGTGTATATAAATTGAAAAGGAACCCTGATCAGCTGGGATGAATAGATCATTCTATTTCTGGCCTGGGTCTCTATCACATGGGTTCATTCGTAAGTCCATACCATTCATTTTCCCCCTTCATTCGAAGGTTTAAAAAAGAGTCTTCAAAGATTGTTTTTAAATACACATTTTATCACAAAAATACATATTTAAACATGTATTTTATAGCAATGTTTTTAAGTGCACATTTAAACCTAAAATGCACACATTTCTTCTTTTTTAAACATTTTTGGAGCTAAGAACTGTTTTGCAAAGTTCGGAGAGGTGCAAAGTCCAAAGAATGGTTGCATTTTGATCCACGTGTCCTGGAGGCACAAATTTGCTTTCAAATGTGGACCGAATGAAAATTCTCCCCCGTTCCTGCTAATCCATTTTGAGCTGTTGGATGAACAGCTTTCAGCTGAACCTGTGCCGATTTGTAACGGCCAGTTCAAGCCAGTTAGTTATGATAGGCCAATTTACGAGAGCCACTTTCAGTTTGCTAGGAAAAATCTGACACAGGAAACACAGAGCTTGTTGCGTACTCACTCGCCAAAAGTCAGCCATGCTTCCAATTTCCTGGAAAGAGATACCACTGTCCGTAGGAGTTTCCAAGAAGAGTTCAGACATCACTTTGGTGTAGTAATAGGCATTTGAACTTGTCATCCCATACGTCACTAGAGATAAATCAGGTTGGGGAAAACAGCACGCAATTCAATAGGATTTAGACATTCATTCCACCTGACTGGCTTAAGTACGCAATATTAGAGTGGGAAGGTAAGTTTTATTATACTGATAAGTTGGAAGAATGCAGATATGATCCCCATTGATCAATGGATTGACAGTATGACAACACTCGTAAAGTATGAACAGACTGCTTAAAGATTTAGATTTTGTTTGGATAAATATTACAACATTTGGAAAGAGTTCGTACAGGGCGAAGTATGCAATTAATATCTACATACATATTAGGATAATAACACTATATAAGAATGCATGGGAGTATATTATATTGCTGGTGGGGCTGTACCGGAGCGGTACCTATTTATCTACTTGCACTTTAACGTGCTTTCGAACTGCTAGGTGCGCAGGAGCAGGGACCGAGCAACGGGAGCTCATCCTGTCGTGGGGATACGAACCACCGACCTTCTGATCGGCAAGCCCTAGGCTCTGTGGTTTAACCCACAGCGCCACCCACGTCCCCTCAAACATATAGCAGCAGTGAAAGTTTTTCTTTCACACGTGAAGTGATATAAGGGCTTGTGTGACAAGAAATCATCAGGAATTATGGCCATAAACATGGTTTGGGATTGTCATGGCCATTTTAACCAGTCCTAGTGCTAGGACAAATACCTCACCCATTCAGCAAAGGGGTCAGGTTGTGCTTGCTCCGCTAAGAGAGGGATCAAACTTATCACATGCATGCATGCACTCAGAGACACGTAAGCGCTGCCTAAGCTGTAACGTCAATGGCAGGATTCTCAGTGGGGAGAAAACTCGATAGGCATCCTACACAAACAACACATTTTCAAAGCTCCTCTCTTGCCCAGGTCAGAACATCATTACTGTATGAGAAGAGTGATTTGAGCTTTGTCCCCCTGTTTGCAAGTGATAACTATTATTGCCATACCTGTTCTGCCGTGGAGTGCATGAAATATAATCTGTTGCCCTATGAGACATCACAGGTGCACCTTTGAGATAACAATAAATCTTCCCAAAACAAACAGCCATTGTTGTGCCCACACAAAGTGGTTTAGTATTTGGCACACAGCTGCATTCAATCTACCCAGAGAGCACAATAGGAACGGCCATCTATGTTATCGTTCAGACCATCCTTCCTGCATAGTTCTTTGCGATGGAAAGGGGGGAAACATCAGGGTGTTGTGGAAGTTCTAACCACGCATGTCAAATTCCGAGTAGATGCAAGAAAATGTGGATGTTCCTATGAAATGAGAATGGGTCGTTCCTTCCACTACAACAGTGCCCCCCAAACATGGGTCTCCAGCTGGTTTTGGACTACAATTTCCAACATCCCTGACCACTGGTCTGCTAGCTAGGGATGATGGGAAGTGTAGTCCAAAAACAGCTGGAGACCCAAGTTTGGGGAACACTGCCCTAGAATAAGGTTACCAGATTTTTTTTCCAATGAATCTGGGGAAACTTTTCAACTTCAGTAGGAATGATAGGATTTTGTATGGGGACTGATTTGTAAATCCAGGGACTGTCCCCAGGAAATGGGGACATCTGGTAACCTTACCCTAGAAGAACCAATGAATTTGTGGGCAGGAGAGGAAGGAGGGGATACCAAGAAGGCACCATTGCTTTCTCTTACTACAATCCAATCCAGGAAGCCAAGTTCAAAGCTTGTGGGTTTGGCATCATTTGAGACAGCCCCATGGTTACCATGGAGGTCATGAAGTTCTGAGCTACTCTCAACAAGGGTGTCCCAGTGGGAAGTCTCACTGCTTTGGGGCAATGAAGGGGACAGTATGCCAATAGGATTCCTGTTCTGTCCCAAACACCCAGCCTCAGAAACAAGCACTAGAAACTGGACACTTAAACACCTGGTAAGGGAGAGCTGGACCATAAAGAAGGCTGATCGCTGAAGAATTAATGCTTTTGAATTATGGTGCTGGAGGAGATTCTAGAGAGTCCCATGGACTGCAAGAAGATCAAACCTCTCCATTCTGAAGGAAATCAGCCCTGAGTGCTCACTGGAAGGACAGATCCTGAAGCTGAGGCTCCAATACTTTGGCCACCTCATGAGAAGAGAAGACTCTGTGGAAAAGACCCTGATGTTGGGAAAGATGGAGGGCACAAGGAGAAGGGGACGACAGAGGACGAGATGGTTGGACAGTGTTCTCGAAGCTACTAGCATGAGTTTGACCAAACTGCGGGAGGCAGTGGAAGACAGGAGTGCCTGGCGTGCTCTGGTCCATGGGGTCACGAAGAGTCGGACATGACAAAATGGCTAAACAACAACAACAAGGGAACTAGGGTCCCAGTAGACTACAGTATCTCTGCCTCCCTATCCCCGGGGCCCAGTTTGCTGCTGCATGGAGAACTTGTCTTTTCAAAATCCACCATGTTGAAAGGCAGGGTGCAAGTGTAATTAACCAACACAAGCCATCTAAAAGAATATTTGCCCCTCATTGGGCTGGAACCAATAATAAAAAAGAAAAGCAGCCCAGGCAAACTTACATAAACAGATATCCACCAAGAATACAATGTAGACCAACAGTTCGCGCAGTGTGGTCTTTACGTAAAGCTCTCGGTTCTCAGCGGTGTTTTCCGTTAGTGTGGTGCCCCAAAGTCCTGCAAAGAGAGAGAAAAGGGAAAGAAGTGATTAAACGTGCTTCTGTATTCACCTGTTTTAGGTGCTAATCCACAGCACAATTGCCCCAGAGGGCTTCATCTGATGTGAGCAGTACAACCCCAGAAAAACTGAGTGAAAGCTTTCAGGGCTGCTCACAGGAAATACTGGGGTGTATATATGACAGGCCCCAGCCCAGCAAGGACCCCAGATTCTTAGCTTTCTTTCTTTCTTTCTTTCTTTCTTTCTTTCTTTCTTTCTTTCTTTCTTTCTTTCTTTCTTGTAAGTTAATTAGTCACTTCTAAAGAAAGTTAGCCCCTTCATGGATCACTGCCCTGTTGTGGCGAAGGGGCTTGAATAACTCAGAGAAGCTATGAGCTATGATGCCGTGCAGGGCCACCCAAGACAGACAGGTCATAGCCGAGAGTTTAGACTAAATGTGATCCACCTGGAGAAGGAACTGGCAAACCACTCCAGTATTTTGCCAAGAAAACCCCGTGGACATAAAAAAGGAGAAGCTTTGAGAAGAAAGTGAGCGTTTCCAAGGCATGCTCTGGTTCATGGGGTCACGGAGAGTCGAACCCGACTAAGACGACTAAACAACAACAAAAGAAAGTTATAAAACAAAATGCAGAGGCAACTCTAAGGCTTCAGCACTTAGCAGGCAGCACCTTTGCTAAGGACACATAATCACTTCAACACTGTTGCCAAACAATCCAAAGAAGGAATGCTGACCACCCCCATCTGGGATTTGAAATGGGGCCCCCTACCAGAGCAGCAACCCCCCAAGAGAAACTTCTTGTTACTGCTATTCTAATGCTGAATAGAGGAGGATACTGGAGTGGTTTGTTTAAGCACCTTCCTTGTATCTCATTCACTCTTCAAGGGTGCTGTCTTTACAGAATAAAGCACAATTACTTGGCTTTGGTGCGTTGTAGTCAGAAGCAGGGCTTTTTTCAGCCGGAGCATGCCAGAGCACAGTTCCAGCACCTCTAAGGAGAATGCCATTGAAGGGTGGTGCTCCCCCCGCCTGCTTCTTGCCTTTACGTACTTCTGAGAAGCCCAAAACGAACATTTCAAGTCAAAATGGAAGCTGACCAGTGTGTGTGAGTCTACAGGAACTAGCTCTTATAAATTAAATAGCGGTTCTTATAATGACCAGCTGGAGTGGAAACCAGTAGCAGTCAGTATGGCAGAGCATCCCCACTCCTCCTGACGGTGAAGTCAGTGCAATGCGAGGACACTAGCGGGAGCGATTGGCTCTGCTGCTGTGTTAGCACCATGCTGGTCTCACTTTACCCCTTCCGTTCTACATCCTGGTAAGCCACAGTGATGCAACTAACCAGGGCCCAGGTGAGTGTCCTTTCGGCCGAGCTGACGGGACGCATTCTGCTCCCCACCCCTTCCACTGAGGCAGCCTGACGGAGCTCATGCGTTCGATTGCCATTCCAGATTCAAATCAAATGCTCTTTCGTGCTCCCAGTGGTGCCAAACCTGAGCCTAAGAACATGGGCTGGGATCTGTTTGAACATTGTTTTCTTTCATCAAGTCACTGTTTCATCAGCTAACAAGCTGATGAGATAGGTCAGACCATTAATGGCTTCTTCGTTGCCTTCTTCTTCTTCTTCCTACTTAAACTTTCATCTGGTGCACATGTGATTCCCCACTTAAAAGCCAAGTAGGTGTGCCGACATCAATAGCTTAAGGGTTTCCATTCCTTTAATATAGTCTCAAGTGGTTCAGCTCTAAGGACACCTGCTATCAGCGATCTGTGATGGATATTGCTCCACACCCCTAATCAAAAGCACTAAGTACAGAACAGAACAGAACAGAGTGTGCTGTAATAGGGAATGCTAATATGTCGTGCGAAGACAGAAGTGCCTGGCGTGCTCTGGTTCCATGGGGTCACGAAGAGTTGGACATGACTGAACGACTAACCAACAACAACAAAATATATTGTGCAAATGAAGCTTTTTCCTCCTTCCTACTCGCGCTGCAAAAGCTTCCTTATCACGACACAAGTCTGTCTCTGTGTTGAGATGGCCTCTGGAGTCCTCTCCTCACTGCCACCATCAGAATTAAGGCAGGGTTTCTGATTTTAGTCCATTGTCTGGAAGGACAGGGTAGTGAGTCTTTAATTCATTAATTCAATCTATTGGTATCTGTGAGATATGAAAGACATTGGGTTCACTCGCAAGTAATAACCCTCAATCAGCTATGTGGATCCACATGAACAAATAAACATGTTTCTGAATGCACATTCCCATCTGGATTCAGTTTGGTATGATAAAAAAAAATGTGTTTCGCATCGTGCAGTGTTAAAAACTCTACTAGTGTCCGCAAGGCTACTAGTTGGGCTCATGGGTTTCTGGCTTAGGGATATTGTATTTAAAAGTGGTGGTGGGATTTCCCCCTACCCTTGACTTTTCTGTCTATTTTTAACACATAATGATTTCTCACAATCATCCTTGTTAGTGTATCAGTTGTCTATTATTTGCAGAATTTATGGGGGGGGGGATTATGTTCTTGTTGTTTTCCTTTCTGTCTTAAACTTAGAATCATAGAATCATAGAATTATAGAGTTGGAAGAGACCACAAGGGCCATCGAGTCCAACCCCCTGCCAAGCAGGAAACACCATCAGAGCACTCCTGACATATGGTTGTCAAGCCTCTGCTTCAAGACCTCCAAAGAAGGAGACTCCACCACACTCCTTGGCAGCAAATTCCACTGTCGAACAGCTCTTACTGTCAGGAAGTTCTTCCTAATGTTTAGGTGGAATCTTCTTTCTTGTAGTTTGGATCCATTGCTCCGTGTCCGCTTCTCTGGAGCAGCAGAAAACAACCTTTCTCCCTCCTCTATGTGACATCCTTTGATATATTTGAACATGGCTATCATATCACCCCTTAACCTCCTCTTCTCCAGGCTAAACATGCCCAGCTCCCTTAGCCGTTCCTCATAAGGCATCGTTTCCAGGCCTTTGACCATTTTGGTTGCCCTCCTCTGGACACGTTCCAGTTTGTCAGTGTCCTTCTTGAACTGTGGTGCCCAGAACTGGACACAGTACTCCAGGTGAGGTCTGACCAGAGCAGACTACAGTGGCACTATTACTTCCCTTGATCTAGATGCTATACTCCTATTGATGCAGCCCAGAATTGCATTGGCTTTTTTAGCTGCCGCGTCACACTGTTGGCTCATGTCAAGTTTGTGGTCAACCAAGACTCCTAGATCCTTTTCACATGTACTGCTCTCAAGCCAGGTGTCACCCATCTTGTATTTGTGCCTCTCATTTTTTTGCCCAAGTGCAATACTTTACATTTCTCCCTGTTAAAATTCATCTTGTTTGTTTTTGCCCAGTTCTCTAATCTGTCAAGGTCATTTTGAAGTGTGAGCCTGTCCTCTGGGGTGTTAGCCACCCCTCCCAGTTTGGTGTCGTCTGCAAATTTGATCAGGATGCCCTTGAGTCCATCATCCAAGTCGTTGATAAAGATGTTGAATAAGACCGGGCCCAAGACAGAACCCTGTGACACCCCACTAGTCACTCTTCACCTGAACAATTGTGCCAAGAAAGAAAGAAAGAAAGAAAGAAAGAAAGAAAGAAAGAAAGAGTCACGCTTCTCGTGAGGATTGCTGCCTGAGACTACGGTGGCACCAGACAAATATCCCTTGTCATTTCTCCAGGTCTTTCATCTCTCAGTTTTATCAGACCAACTTCCATGCAACTTTCTTTTATCTGTTGCCTTTTGATTTCACGGGTGCTATTTGATCAGAAAGTTGGGTTGCATTTTAGCGCTTTACAGTCATACCTTGGATCCGAAACGCCTTGAGAGTCCCAAATATTTTGGCTCCCAAGCGCCGCAAACCTGGACGTGAGTGTTCCGGTTTGCGAATGTTCTTTGGAACCCGAACGTCCGACACGGCTTCTGCAGCTTCTGATTGGCTGTAGGAGCTTCCTGCAGCCAATCAGAAGCTGTGCTTTGGTTTCTGAACATTTTGGAAGTCGAACTGATTCTGTTTGACTTCCAAGGTACGACTGTAATTATAAGCCACCCTGAAAATAGTTTCCTTGCAGATACACTCTGCAAATGACCATTATGAATTGTTCCAATAAAATATATATCCTGTACCGCTCCCACTGATTTTCTGATTCCCTACAGACGCTTTTTCTTTTTACCAAATCTGTCACGGGTGGGAGAATATCTGGCCGTGAGCTATGTGTGGGCTCTGTTGGTAGAGCATGAGACTGTTAATATCAGGGATAATGGGCACAGGTATAGCAAGAGAAGATCAGAAAATATTCCTCTATGCCACAGGAGCGGCAAGGATCCTAATTGCTAAAAACTGGAAAAAAGAAACTGTGCCAACAAAAAAGGAATGGCAAGACAAACTGTTAGAGTATATTGAACTGGCTAGATTAACAGAGGCAGTTAGAGATCACGCTAGACAAGAGTTTCAAAAAGCATGGGGGAAATGCAGAGAATACTTCACAAAACAGTGCCCTGGACTTGTTTTGATTAATGTCTGCAGGAGACTTTGTGGATACAGTGGTACCTCGGGTTAAGTACTTAATTCGTTCCGGAGGTCCGTTCTTAAGCTGAAACTGTTCTTAACCTGAAGCACCACTTTAGCTAATGGGGCCTCCACTGCCGCCACACGATTTCTGTTCTCATCTGAAGCAAAGTTCTTAACCCGAGGTACTATTTCTGGGTTAGCGGAGTCTGTAACCTGAAGGTACCACTGTATTTAAGTTACAATTAGAAAAATCTTAATAATTATTCATAAAGGAAACAGTTTATAAGAAGTAGATAAGGAGGCCGGATACAGGATAAAGGAAGTCTTTTATTTCATTGTTTCTACTGTGTGATGCTTACTGTATGTTATGTTCCCGTTTAATGAGGGTGGATTGTGTATTGGGGGGTGCGGTTTTTATGTTATGTTGTAAATAAAATTCCAATAAAAATTATTTTTTAAAAAGAGAGACAATATCAAGATCATGGGTTCAAGTTCCACGTAGGCAAAAGATTCCTGCATTGCAGGGAGTTGGACTGGATGACCCTTGTAGTCACTTCCAACTCTACAATTCGACAATTCTGTATTATTTATTCATTTACCTATAATATTAATTTCCCTTGACAGAGACTCAGGGCGGCTTACAAATAAAAGCAGGAGGCATGGAATGGTCTACAAAGGTTAATAATACGTTACAGTTTCGTTTTCTACACACCTATGCCCAGGGATGTATTTTTAGGAAACATTCCAGATTACGTCACCTATCTGAGGCAAAGTCAGCTCCAGTTTCCGAAAGCTAAACAACAAGTCTACTAGCTTGTTGTTACTAAACTTGTTCGGTTTTACAAAATGAAGGAGGAGATATTAGTATAGCATGCAAGCCGACCTTGTGCATGTTTAGTCAGAAGTTAAGTTTCGCTGTGCAGAGTAGCATTCACATCCAATAAAGTGTGTATGTATATATGGGGTTTGCAGCCGAACAGTCCCTGACCTTAAAGGGATGTGGGTGGCGCTGTGGGTTAAACCACAGAGCCTAGGACTTGCCGATCAGAAGGTTCCCGCGACAGGGTGAGCTCCTGTTGCTCAGTCCCAGCTCCTGCCAACCTAGCAGTTCGAAAGCACGTCAAAGTGCAAGTAGATCAATAGGTACGGCTCTGGCAGGAAGGTAAACGGCGTTTCCGTGCGCTGCTTTGGTTCGCCAGAAGCGGCTTAGTCATGCTGGCCACATTGACCCCGGAAGCTGTACGCCGGCTCTCTCAGCCAGTAAAGCAAGATGAGCGCCGCAACCCCAGAGTCAATCATGACTGGACCTAATGATCAGGGGTCCCTTTACCTTTACCTTAGTCCCTGACCTAATTTTGTTTCAAAGTTTTTGTCTTCCCTGTGGCCAGAGGTATGCTGAAAAAACTGTGGTAACTTTTAATCAGTGTGTGTGTGTGTGTGTGTGTGTGTGTGTGTGTGTTTATTAGTAAAATGTGATGCTAACAGCAACTGGGTGAGGGGTTCATCACAACCCAATGAAAATTGTCCTCTTTAAGGGCACCTTTTATCATATGTGGTGGAACTGTAAAAAGATAAAGGGATTCTGGGAAACGATATACAATGAATTAAAAAAAAAGTTTAAAATAACCTTTGCCAAAAGATCAGAAGCCTTTCTTTTAGGAATTTTAGGTGTAGATATACCGAAGGATTTGAGAAGACTGTTCATGTATGCGGCTACAGCTGCAAGGATGCTGTTTGCTCAGTAATGGAAAGAGGACAAGAGGCCGACAATGGCAGACTGGCAGATGAAATTATTGGACTACGCAGAGATGGCCAGATTGACTGGAAGAATCAGAAATCAAGAGAATCAAAACTTCAATCGAGAATGAGACAAATATAGATTGTGTTTAAAAGAACACTGTAAACACTTTGGCAGCCTTTGAATAACACTTGCAATGTTCCGAAGACTTTGGATATATTGGAGGACTATAATTCGGATGAAATTTGATGAGCATTCCCTCAGTTCCTTCCTCAAAGTGTTTTTTTTTTTACAAAGACACTGAACAACAATGGGCCCAGGACAGAACCCTGCGGCACCCGAATTGCCACTTCTCCCCAGGTTGGACAACGCTCCAGTAACCAGAGGACGAACGTTGTAGCAACTTTTTCCGTGCCATCTCTCTGTGTTTCAGGGAATCCACAACCACTGTTTCAGTAAGAGCACAAGTTTCAGCCAGAGGTCATTCCTCGAGCCAAGGGAGCTGGAGTCATGCCCTGAAATTGCTTTGTAATTTACAGGTGAAGCCTACTTTGAAAGAAAAACATTTCTGGGCAGTGGAATGGAATGGCTCTGACACCTTCCTAGAAAACCAAGTTCAGTTCTGCTTTTGGGGATGATCAAGAGAAATCCAAAGACCGATGGTTCTATTCAAGCTGAGAGTCTCCATCCTTATATTGAATACGACCAGGGAGGGTGGATGTCTTTGAACCCAACTCGCTGGGGCGCCCCTGAGAGGCTGGCATCCTGGCGAGACGCACCACTAAGCCCTATGGGAAAGACGGCTCTGAGTCTAATATAATCTGTACTGAGAATCAGTCACATCTAACCTGGAGCTGCAGTGTTCAAGCCACAAGGACTAATGGGAGCCGCCCAGAGTAATTGAGGCAACCCAGTCAGATGGGTACCATATAAACAATACAATTATTATCTGTCTATCACATCCATCTCATACATAGCATACATAGTTTCTTCCTTCCCATTTTATCCACATAAGATCTGTGTGAGGCAGGTTAGGCTCAGAGACTGTGACTGGCCCAAGGCCACCCAGCGAATTTCATGGCTGAGCGGGGATTTGAACCCTGCTCTTCCCAGGTCATAGGCAAGCACTCTAACCACTACACTACACTACACTAGGTGCTCTCCTGGTCCCATCGGACTCCAGCTCCAACCAGCGCTAGGCTAAGGTTTTAGCAACGGCTCATTTATCATCTTAATGAAGACTAGGACATAGCCTGTGTCAAGCTTTGGAAGTTTCTTAGCTCTGTGAAACGGAGGCATGCAGTTTACAGTCTGCCTTGTGACCTGTTTCTTAGTGCCTGGCTCAGTACTGAGCAATTTGTTCCAAGAGGTCTTGAAGGTTGTTTATTGGGCCTGTCTTAATCCTGCCCTTCCTGGCCAAGACAGGGGACATTGCCAGCTTTCTCTGATGCTTACTGTGACCATGTAAAGTAGCTTGGTTCGCTTGTTGCATTTTAGAGCCTAGCAAAATTGAGAAGGAAATCAAGGAAGTCACCCACAAGGAAAAGCCTCTCCCTTGGACCCAGAGCTCTGGGCTAGCTAGAATAACAAAGGCCAGTAGCAGTGTTTCAGTTTGGCAGTTTTTGCTTGATGTGAGCAGGAGGAGAAATTGTTTCATCCTGTTAAACACGTCAAGCTGAAGGTGGTGGTGATCAGAGCACCATTTGGGCTGATAGTTTGAATCGAAGGCAGCTACGGGAGAAACAGGACCCTCTTGGAGTGTAATGCTGGAAGCCCTTCCATCATAAGCCCAGGTTGTATATATGTAGAAATAAACCACATATCGTAAAGACACCATCGTATCTGCTGTGCCTTATTTCCAAAGGAAGCACGAACCCTGGACCCTGAAATCTTACGCTGCTCAGTGATAGTGGCACCATGTCACAATATAGAGCTGACAGCATCTGCTACAGTAGCTTCCATTGTCACCCCTTGTTCTCTCAAGGTTACAGAGAATCTAGCTGACTTTTTCGGCTTTTTCTGCATTGTCCTCCCATCTTTTTCCAGGCACAATCCCCACCACCACCTCCACCATACATTTCCAAAGCATTTGCAGCCCTTTGTTTCCAAACGATGTCCACAGCTAGGATCGATGGCAGATATTCTCAGGATCTGCCTCACTATTTGTTCTTTGGTTCACTTTACTCTGAACCAAGAACCAAATTTCTGGGATCTGTTCTGCCTCATCTATATTCCAAGACCATTCCAGAAAAGATTTCCTACCTCCTGTCAGACACCGATTGCAGGGTAACCCACAAGGTTTCTCTTTTTGCCCTAGCAGCAATAAAAATCTGGGCAAGAGATATTGAGGAGTTTGCAGTCAGCTGCTTTGGGGAAGCTCTTATTTAACCTCAATATCTGTTCATAGTTAATCATTTTTATCTGTATTAAATTTTACCCTTTCAATCTGTACATTTTATAGATGTTACATATGACTTGTGTAGTATTACAAAGATGTAGGTTTTATGTATGAATCTAGGCGGCAAGGTAAAGGACGCAGGTGGCGTTGTGGGTTAAACCACAGAGCCTAGAACTTGCCAATCAGAAGGTCGGCGGTTCGAATCCCCGCAACAGGGTGAGCTCCCGTTGCTCGGTCCCAGCTCCTGCCAATCTAGCAGTTCGAAAGCACGTCAAAGTGCAAGTAGATCAATAGGTACCGCTTCGGCGGTAAGGTAAACGGCGTTTCCGTGCGCTGCTCTGGTTCGCCAGAAGCGGCTTAGTCATGCTGGCCACATTGACCCCGGAAGCTGTACGCCGGCTCCCTCGGCCAATAAAGCAAGATGAGCACCGCAACCCCAGAGTTGGCCACGACTGGACCTAATGGTCAGGGGTCCCTTTACCTTTACTAGGCGGCAAGGTGGTTTTATGCAGTATCTATACTCTTGGGATTTGTACTGTCTTTATTTATCTTATATGTGAATGGCTTCTGGCCCAAGCATTAATAAACTACATCTAAATATGTTAGTGGAATAGCTGTACAGGCTGCCAAAAAGCTATGAAAACTTTTCAGAGTGACTTTGCCTCTGAGTAGGAACTTCTTATTCATGACTGGTAAATAACTTGTGGAATTGTGCTGTTCTTCATGGGAAGGAGTTTTCTTGGCAGGGATATGGGAGTGGATTGCCGGTTCCTTCTCCAGGTGGATCACGTTTAGTGAAAACTCTCCACTATGACCTGACCATCTTGGGTGGCCCTGCACGGCATAGCTCATAGCTTCTCTGAGTTATTCAAGCCTCTTTGCCATGGCAAAGCAGTGATCCATGAAGGATTGAATTATGGTGCTGGAGGAGACTCTTGAGAGTCCCATGGACTGCAAGAAGATCAAACCTATCCACCATTCTGAAGGAAATCAGCCCTGAGTGCTCACTGGAAGGACAGATCCTGAAGCTGAGGCTCCAATACAGTGGTGCATCGCTTCTTGGCCTTTTGGCTAAGATCAAGTGTAGTAATACAGTGGTACCCCAGGTTACAGATGCTTCAGGTTACAGACACATCTGGTTACAGAGTCCACTAACCCAGAAATAGTACCTCAGGTTAAGAACATTGCTTCAGGATGAGAACAAAAATCTCGTGGCAGCAGTGGGAGTCCCCATTAGCTAAAGTGATACCTCAGGTTAAGAAGAGTTTCAGGTTAAGAACGGACCTTCGGAACAAATTAAGTTCTTAACCAGAGGTACCGCTGTATTTTGGTCACCTCATGAGAAGAGAAGGCTCCCTGGAAACCTGGAAAATACCCTGATGTTGGGAAAGATGGAGGGCACAAGGAGAAGAGGACGACAGAGGACGAGATGGTTGGACAGTGTTCTCGAAGCTACGAACATGAGTTTGACCAAACTACAGGAGGCAGTGGAAGACGGGAGTGCCTGGCGTGCTCTGGTCCAGGGGGGCACGAAGAGTCGGACAAAACTACTAAACAACCACCACCATGGATGGGAAGGACTTTAACTGGTTTCTTTTCTCTTTTCTTTCTTTTACAGTACAACAGCATTGTTAAGTCAACAAACACAAAGCACTCCAGTTTTACAGTACAGTTGATGTACCAAGTTCAAAACTCAAACTTTTCCACTCAGAAATTAAATTTGAAATGTTACAGAATGGTGTGTTTTTGTAATAGCTGTTCAGTGTGGGCTGGGGGATATTTTCTTCTGGCTCTTCAGTTTATCCACAAATTAGTTAATCCCAGGCCTCTAATGGCTTCATTTGAAGTGAGGTTACAGGGAACCAGGCAGAGGGCCTTCTCAGTAGCGGCGCCTGCCCTGTGGAACGCCCTCCCATCAAATGTCAAGGAAATAAGCAACTATCTGACTTTGAGAAGACATCTGAAGGCAGCCCTGTTTAGGGAATTTTTTTAATGTTTGGTGTTTTGTTGCATTTTTAATATTTTGTTGGAAGCTGCCCAGAGTGCCTGGGGAAAACCAGCCAGATGGGTGGGGTATTAATAATAATAATAATAATAATAATAATAATAATAATATGTTGTTGTTGTTGATGATGATGATGATTTGGATTCCTGCATTTAAACTCAAGGGTCTACCATTGGCCCTCTCTTATCTTAGTCATTTAGTCGTGTCCGACTCTTCATGACCCCATGGACCAGAGCACGCCAGGCACTCCTGTCTTCCACTGCCTCCCGCAGTTTGGTCAAACTCATGTTCGTAGCTTCGAGAACACTATCCAACCATCTCGTCCTCTGTCGTCCTCTTCTCCTTGTGCCCTCCATCTTTCCCAACATCAGGGTCTTTTCCAGGGAGTCTTCTCTTCTCATGAGGTGGCCAAAGTATTGGAGCCTCAGCTTCAGGATCTGTCCTTCCAGTGAGCACTCAGGGCTGATTTCCTTCAGAATGGTGGATAGGTTTGATCTTCTTGCAGTCCATGGGACTCTCAAGAGTCTCCTCCAGCACCATAATTCAAAAGCATCAATTCTTCGGCGATCAGCCTTCTTTATGGTCCAGCTCTCACTTCCATACATCACTACTGGGAAAACCATAGCTTTTAGTATACGGACCTTTGTTGGCAAGGTGATCTCTCTTATCTAAGCTATGTCTATTCAGAGCAGGGGGATTTGGCTACACTGATAAGACACATCACAACCGTACCAGCCAGCAGCTTAACAGCTGAAATCTCTGGGCAGGACCAGGTATGTAAGAGTTGTTGTATCGGAAGCAAACACAAAATCTGCCCAAACAGTCCTTAGCGGCACATTTGCCATTTAACCAGAATTTGACATAGCGATGGCACAGAATTGGTAATGGGCTTTGGGTCTAGAAGGGAGCCTGCATCATATCGCAAGGTGCATTTGACAAGACTGTGTGCCCTTTTGCTGATCTCATTGGATGCTGCGCAGGTGAGCCAATGGACCCAGGGCAGAGCCTGAACTTCTGCTTCTCATCTCAGCCACTCTGCAATCTCTTTATCCACCTTGAGCACACCTTTGACTCCCTCATCTTCAAAGGACCAATTGCCTCCTAGCCAGTTTCAAGAAAAAGAGGTGCCGGAACTCACCATGAACATCTCCCTTGTTCTCTTATAATGGCAATGGCGCCCACCTGAGAGGTGCTGGGACTGGGCAGGGGGAGCCCTGCTAGTCTCCTGCTACGAGTATATTAAATGTTTGTTGATGATGCTGATATTTGTGTTTTGAGCAACATGCTCCTCCAGTTCATTTTTAGTATCCTCTTGGCCTTGGGGGTAGCTTCCTTCATCTTTGGCGTACATTCAAGCTTTTGATATTGTGGTTTTAAAAAATATCCTGAGCACTTTAGGGAGACTTGACCCTCTTCCCTTTGCATTTCTGCTTCCTTTTTTTTAAGTCTCCCCCCCACCAGTGGCGAAGCTGCATGCTCCGCTACCAGGGGTGGAGAGCAGGCAGGGGTGTGGCTGGTGCCCCCAAGGGCATGACGCATGCCCTGGGGGCATGGCGCTTATCCCAGGGGCGTGGTATGCATTCTGGGGGTGTGACACGCTGCCTGTGGGGGCGTGGCACTTGGCACGCCTGGGGGAGGGGTACGCAGTGCGTGTCGGGGGGGCACCACGATGGCACCCTACTGGAATAGTGGTGCCAGGGGTGGTCCGCTCCATAGCTGTCAACTTTCAGATTTGAAAATAAGGGATCAGCAGACTTGAAAATAAGGGATCAGCAGCCTCACCTGCCCTGGGGACAGTCTACAGGATATCTAACAATCCGGGATAGCAGCGGGAAGCAGTGGGAAACAGCGCTGGAATAAGGGAATTTCCCGCAAAAAACGGGAAGGTTGACAGCTGTGGTCCGCTCCCTCCACACTCCGGTTCTTCCGCCAGTGCGCCCCCGCCCCACTTTTGGGATGTTTCATCTTTGAAGACAAATGTGACTGTTAGGTCCGTTTTATATACAGTGGTACCTCGGGTTACATACGCTTCAGGTTACCGACTCCGCTAACCCAGAAAGAGTACCTCGGGTTAAGAACTTTGCTTCAGGATGAGAACAGAAATTGCGCGGCGGCATCAGGAGGCCCCATTAGCTAAAGTGGTGCTTCAGGTTAAGAACAGTTTCAGGTTAAGAACAGACCTCCGGAACGAATTAAGTACGTAACCAGAGGTACCACTGTATATATTGAATCTAATCAGCGGTGTAGCATCAATTTTTCGCGCTCGGGGTGGGCATGCATGTGCAGCTGGCATGGGGGGTCTCAGCCCAACTTTTGCCACCAGAGTGACCCCAACTCCACTGGAGCAAAGTGGGGTCATGCTGAGCTGCCTGCCTGCTCTTGCAGGAAGGAGCCCAGCTGCCCAACATGGCCCTTGACGGACAGAGAGGAGCACCAGGCCTGGGATCACCTGCATGGGGGTGCCTGCTTTGCACCCCCTCAAAAATTGTGTGCCTGGGGCACAGCACCCCGGTACTCCCCATGCTGTACCCCTGAATTTGACAGCACTGTGGTTCCCAGTTAGTCTTGGGTGGCACTTAAAACTAACTTCAGCGTCACCACCCCTTGCTGGTTCCATGACCAACTCTTTTTTTTTAATAATAATAATAATATATTTATTGTCATTGCCCCCTTCGGGGACAACGAAATTACTTGACTGCTCCATAAAAACACTAATTAAACAATACAGTATAATACAGCAAGGGAGATTAGATGACTTTCAAAGTCCGAGCTTCCCATTCAGGGCCGAGATCGCTCTGGAGAAGAAGCTGTTCTTAAGACGGCTCGTTCTTGTCTTCATCGTCCTGTATCTCCATCCCGACGGCAAGAGCTCGAAGAGACAGTGACCAGGATGCGATGGATCTTTTACTATGTCCAGTGCCTTCCTATGGCACCTTGTGGCATAAATCTGCTCTAAGGTGGAGAGTGGACAGCCAACAATGCTCTCTGCTGCCTTAACAACCCTGCACAACCCCATCCTGTCCTGGGTAGTACAGCTTCCGTACCACACACATAAGCCATAAGTGAGCACGCTCTCAATGGCACAGTGATAGAAGGCAAGCAGCAGTTTCTGCGGAAGATGGTTTTTCCTTAGTATTCTCAGAAAGTACAGTCTCTGCTGCGCCTTCTTCTAGGTAAAGGTAAAGGACCCCTGGATGGTTAAGTCCAGTCAAAGGCGATTCTGGGGTTGCGGTGCACATCTCGCTTTCAGGTTGAGGGAGCCGGTGTTTGTCCACAGACAGCATTCCGGGTCATGTGGCCAGCAGGACTAAACCGCTTCTGGCGCAATGGGACACCATGATGGAAACTAGAGTGCACAGAAACGTCGTTTACCTTCGTGGCACAGTGGTACCTATTTATCTACTTGCACTGGTGCGCTTTCAAATGCTAGGTTGGGAGGAGCTGGGACAGAGCAACAGAAGCTCACTCCGTCCTGGGGATTCGAACTGCCAACCTTCTGATCGGCAAGCCCAAGAGGTTCAGTGGTTTAGACCACAGTGCCACCCGCGTCCATGGCTCCCCATCGGGGAATCGAACTCCGGTCTCCTGTCTGACAGGCAAGGATACTTATCACTATGCCCATGCTAGCTAGGTTCATGAGACAGCCTTGTTTTGCTACGTTCCATGGCAAATCTGAAACTGGCTTCTGAGTGCCTTTAAATTGCCTAGTAACTGCAAAGGGTGTTATCGCCCAGACCCATCAGTCTTGCAACACAGAGAGCAATTTCCCTAACAGTGTGGGAAACCAGCAGAGCCCTCCAGAGATCATGTATTTTATTACATTTATATCCTGCATTTCCTTCCAGGATTGCAAGGCAGCATATACGGTGGTACCTCGGGTTAAGTACTTAATTCGTTCCGGAGGTCCGTTCTTAACCTGAAGCACCACTTCAGCTAATGGGGCCTCCTGCTGCCACGCCGCCGGAGCACGTTTTCTGTTCTCATCCTGAAGCAAAGTTCTTAACCCGAGGTACTATTTCTGGGTTAGTGGAGTCTGTAACCTGAAGCGTATGTAACTTGAAGTGTATGTAACCCGAGGTACCACTGTACACCTCTCTTCCCCTGTTACCTTTCTGTGAGATAGCAAAGGCTGAGAAACAGCACTATTTAACCTGGGGGGGGGGAGACAGGGGCATGTATGGAAATCGAAGGAACTCCAAGTCACCACACAATGCTCATTTAACAGACGAAAAACTGGTGGTGTTCAGAACCACCCCATGAAGAAAGGGGAAACAGAGATCTCCCCAAACCCAAGCAACCCAAGGTGGATCGAAAAATAATACAAGAAATGGGGAGGATCAGGGAATCTTGTTGGGCATACCACAAATGCCCACGACTGCCACTGTGGGGACCCCAGGATTAGCTTACCCAAAGAGCTTCATAGCTGCATGGGATATGAACCAGGGATTGCGCAATGCTAGTTCAAGACTTGGCAGAGCAGCAAACATAGAGTAGCCGCCTAATAATAATAATAATAATAATAATAATAATGTTATTATTTATACCCCACCCATCTGGCTGGATTACCCCAGCCCCACCAAAGGCTGTGTACACAGCTTTAAATCCCTTTCAAAACACATTCTTGCGCTCCAAGAATTTAGGGCACTGCTATTTACCTCTCACCAAGTTCAAATCCCCAGCAACTCTTAACCACTCACAGTGCTCAGAATTCTTTGAGGGGAAATAATGTGCTTCGAATACGATTTAAATGTACAGTGCGTACACAGGGCCTCCCCACACAAAAAAATTGCCAAGAGAGTATAAGCTCAGGCAAGTGAGTCAAGCTACACTTTATAAAGGGAAAGCAAATACAACAACATTGTGACCACCTCACATGTAGCAGATCGTGGGATCAGAGTGATGGATGTGTTTATGGAGGAGGGGGAGATACAGGTATCCCTCTTAGTTTCAAAGAAACACTTCCATTGAACTTTCGAAAAGTTCCCCCATACCTTCAAGATTTTAACCAACCTCTCCTGTTATTGTAACAATCCTCTATCAACATTCAGGACAGAACACAAACACCCCATTATAAAGAAGCAGCAGCAGCAGCAGCAATAAATAAATATTTCATTCTCAAGTCATTGCAAAAATGTATAAAGGCCACTCCAGCTCCAAGCTGGTCCATGGTCATGTAAACATCTTCGATATTATCCTATTTTTCTACACGTGATGTTTGGTCTAACTGCCCTGTGATCCACGGATGAAGGGTGTTGTAAAAATTTAATTACCGGTAATTACATTTAATTATTAATAATAGTAATAATATTACTTGGAACTCAGGGAAATTACACTGGCATTGCATCCCTCTACGAGTTCAGCAGTTGCGAACTCTGAGGTTCAAGCTCTGCAGCTGGAAAAGGCTTTCAGATAACCCGTTCTCCTTTCCTGTCTCTCTATCCTTGCTTTTCATCCTGTTAATCAAACAATACGGCCGATGCTGTACAGAGAAGTGCTAGGCGCAGCTGTTTTGCTGCAAACCCCTCCCGCAGCAATCGCTGTGCAAAAGTTACCCTCCTTGCTTCCCTCCTGCATGGAGGTGGAGTTGCCGTGAATCGCTGGCCCTCTCCTGAGTCTAAAAACCAAGCCTCACCATCGCTTCCACCAACCACCCTGTTACCTCGGATGCCTTTGCAGATATAGAAGCAGCACGCAGAGAATGGCTTCTTCCTGCCAACTCTCATCTCATCTTTCTCTCTCTCCTTCTGGTAGGGCAGGGAGTCGGTCAGCTTCTCAATATTCTCATAGGGATTTTCCAAGATGGATTTGGGATTGTAGATGGCCCTGATCTTCAGGGAAGAGGAAGGCGACCCGTTATAAACAGGGTTGTCCCATGCCTTATTCCCCAGAGTTTCCAGTTCGTGCTCTTCTCGGGCTTGGAAGTGGCTCTCAGCTCGGTTGTTCAGGTGGGAAGAGCTCATGGCGAAGCAAAATGAGCCGAAGTTTCTGTTTAGTTCAGTTGCCGGTTTGCTCGAAGGAACACAGAGGAGAAAAACAGGCAGGTCAGCAATAGGGAGAGCATAGGTTCTGTTCTGCACTCAGCTGCTGAACGGCCTCCTTCTTTTATACCAATTCATTGGGTGACAGGTACAGAATGGAGGCAGAGACCATTGTTGGAACAAGCGCAAGGTCTATTCTTCGGCGAGCACAGCTACACCCAGGGGAGGATCTCTTCCTCGCTGTGAACAACAGCCATGAAAACCAGCATGAGGTGGGGAGACAGAAGACGGCGAAGATATTGGCTGATTTGGCCTGGCTTCTAGGGAAGGAGGGAGGCAAGAAAAGGCCGGGTGTTCATTGGACACCTTAGGTTGCCGTTAATGGTGAGTGACACCTGGCAGATCCCCAAATGTGCTGGTTTTTAAATAGAGCTGCGCCAACAAGAGCGTTTGAGGTCTGTAAATCAAAACGTCGACTTGTTTTCTGAGGCCGCTCTTTGAACTGAGGCCTTTCAGAACTCCTGCATTCAAAATGGCAACCTGGGAACAGGATCCAACCAGCAGCAGCGGTGGCCATATAAAATCCACACGCAGGCCAATTGTAGGATCAAGGGTGGCAGTTCCTGGGGGACAAGCCCTTTAGGGGGCCCCCAATATTTTGGGAGGCACTTCTGTCTTCCACTGCCTCCTGCAGTTTGGTCAAACTCATGCTGGTAGCTTCAAGAACACTGTTCAACCATCTCGTCCTCTGTCGTCCCCTTCTCCTTGTGCCCTCCATCTTTCCAAAAAGTACAGAGGCAAAACGCGGAGCTTCTTGGGAGAAAAGCAATGACAAACCTAGACAGCATCTTAAAAAGCAGAGACATCACCTTGCCGACAAAGGTCTGTATAGTTAAAGCTATGGTTTTCTCCATCTTTCCCAACATCAGGGTCTTTTCCAGGGAGTCTTCTCTTCTCAAGAGGTGGCCAAAGTATTGGAGCCTCAGCTTCAGGATCTGTTGTTCCAGTGAGCACTCAGGGATGATTTCCTTAAGAATGGATAAGTTTGATCTTCTTGCAGTCCATGGGACTCTCAAGAGTCTCCTCCAGCACCAGAATTCAAAAGCATCAATTCTTCGGCGATCAGCCTTCTTTATGGTCCAGCTCTCACTTCCATACATCATCCAGCATATACAAAAAAATAACTAAACATTAAAAACTTCCCTATACATGGCTGCCGTCAGATTTCTTTTGAAGGTTGTATAGTTGCTCATCTCCTTGACATCTGACGTCAAGGAGTCGCCCAAGACATTTTGGCACCTGAGGCAAATCAGAAAATGACGCTTCCTTCCCTGTCAGGGAAGAAGGGGTGTTCCATCAGGAAGAAGGGGGGGGGATAAAGATATAAACTGAGATTTGCTGCCCCTGTGGATCCTGCCACCTAAGGCGGTCACCTCACCTTATCTCATGGTGGGCCGGCCCTGTTCAGAGGGAACAAGGCCGCAAAAGTTGAACTTGAGTTATGACAGCAGTTTTCCTACTCTGAATGAACTTGTTTGAACAATCATGAGATTGCTTTGATCACTGTGGCAGAGTTTAGGAAGGAGCCCCTCACCCCTGCCCCCTGCCCCCCACATTATTGTCTATACTTTGAGGCAGGCAGACCTTCTTATTCTTTGTAAGCTGTGGAATTAAACAGTGCACTTGTTTAAAAAAGAAAAAAAAGGATAGCATCTCAGTCGGTGGCCACAAAGGAGAATCTCAAAACGCTGGCATTGATTTATTGGGCAAACGGTGAAAGCACCGATGGGCCATTAGCTCAGGGCATAAAAGAAGATCTGCCTTACATAAGATATCACAAGACAGTTTTGTGCATTGCCTCCAAGAAATCCTTAGGGCTTAGTTAGGAAACCAATGAAAGGCTGGAATCCTGGCTACTTGTTTTCCAAACACCAAGAGGGACTGAGATGTAGCAATGGACATGAGAGGTAAAGGACCCCTGGATGGTTAAGTCCAGTCAGTGTCAACTATGGGGTGCAGCACTCATCTCCGCTTTCAGGCCAAGGAAGCCAGCGTTGGTCCACAGACAGCTTTTCCGGGTCATGTGCCCAACATGACTAAACTGCTTCTGGTGCAATGGGACACCGTGACGGAAGCCAGAGCGCATGGAAATTCCATTTACCTTCCTGCTACAGTGGTACCTATTTATCTACTCGTGCTGGTATGCTTCTGAACTGCTAGGTTGGCAGGAACTGGGAGAAAGCAATGGGAACTCATCCCCATCGAGTGGATTTGAACTGCTTACCTTCCGATTGGCAAACCCAAGAGGCTCAGTGGTTTAGACCACAGTGCCACCCACGTACCAGACTGCACAAGAGAGGGGACGCCCAGCACCTCCTAGCCACAGGAAGCAGCTTGTTCCTGGGGTGCTTGGTGATCTGGTTTATTTGCATCCCCTTCAGCATGTCAAGGAGGCCCCAGACTCTCTCACTGGTCATAAGAATTCTCCACATTTGTATAGCACTTTTGACTGTCCACAGTGCTTCCTGTGCAGAACTTTGTTAAAACTCATAGGAACAGAGGAAGCTGCCATCTAGGCCCGAATTGCCTGCACTGACAGAGAACATCTCTCCAGGGTTTCGGACATGTGTTTCTCCCAGACTTACCTGGAGATACGAAGTACTGAAGCTGTGGCCTTCTGCATGCCTGGCAGGCGCTCTAACGCTAAGCCATGTGCAACGTTAGAAACTCAGACCTGTAAGCTAGGCATCAAACGGCTCCTTAAACCAAAGTTGCAGTAGCCAAAATAGAATGTCTAGTTGCCATTTGTGGGCAGGTAAAAGGTAAAGGGACCCCTGACCATTAGGTCCAATTGTGGCCGACTCTGTGGTTGCGGCGCTCATCTCGCTTTATTGGCCGAGGGAGCCGGCGTACAGCTTCCGGGTCATGTGGCCAGCATGACTAAGCCTCTTCTGGCAAACCAGAGCAGCGCATGGAAATGCCGTTTACCTTCCCGCTGGAGCGGTACCTATTTATCTACTTGCACTTTGATGTGATTTCGAACTGCTAGGTTGGCAGGAGCAGGGACCGAGCAATGGGAGCTCACCCCGTTGCGGGGATTCAAACCCTGACCTTCTGATCGGCAAGCCCTAGGCTCTGTGGTTTAGACCACAGCGTCACCCGCGTCGCTAAAATCTTATTTTTCAAATAATGGACCGGCAATCAGTTAAACATCTGGCTAGTTCAGATGACAACCTTGAGCTAGGTTAAGAACTTTGAGAACTTAGAGAAGAAAAGTCATTTGATCCAGGGACAGTCCACATATCCGTTGGCCTATTCACACCTCTTTCTCTTAACGGCGACATGGACCGCTCATAACGTAAGAATATTCTTTGCAACTCTGGGGTAGGAGAAGTGAAGACAAGCGACAACAGTTAACTATAACGTTGTTCACTGCTCAGGCCGCTCAGAAAAAGCGTCTCCTGAAGTCCATTCTGATTCTGCGGATAAAATAGGATAGATGGAATTCTACAGGTATTAGTGTGTGAAAACAGCCAAGATCTAATGATCACCAGGCATTTGCCTAAGCAATTATGTGGGCTTCTACAATTTCCCCTTCCAACTGCAAGTTCTCAGGCTTCAACAAACCCTGTTCAGTGTTCAGGGAGGAGTCCTTTTAGGACCAGTTGGAGTGACATGGCAGAAGAAACATGGTCCTTTGGATCCGTCCACATGTTTTAGGAATTAAAAAAGTTCTGTAGTTAAATATTCATCATTACAGTCATTCCCATTGGACTGAAATCCACAAGAATAATGGCTAATGACACCAATGTGTATCTGAATATGTTCAAAGTAACTGAGCCACTTATTAAATCATGTTAAGTTAATGTCTGGATCAGAACTGAACAGGAAGAGAGAGAAGAAATATTGCTAAACGTTGAGGTTCAGTTCTGTGTTAGGGTAATGTCTCAGCTATGCCAGTTTCAAAGTTAAATTATACAGTGGTACCTCGGGTTAAGAACTTAATTCGTTCTGGAGGTCTGTTCTTAACCTGAAACTGTTCTTAATCTGAGGTGCCACTTTAGCTAATGGGGCCTCGTGCTGCCGCTGCGCCGCCACCATGCGATTTCTGTTCTCATCCTGAAGCAAAGTTCTTAACCCGAGGTACTATTTCTGGGTTAGCGGAGTCTGTAACCTGAAGTGTCTGTAACCCGAGGTACCACTGTACTGCACACTTCAAGGAAAGAATCTTCTGCTGCTGCGCTACTTTGAGAGTCAGCTGGCTTGTGGCAGCAGAGGACTTTTGGAGTTCTGGATTTTGGCATCAAACAGCGCACCACTGAAAATTGAGGTGTCAAGGTCCGCCACCGGTCCACAAAAAGGTCTGCAAAAAGTCTGGTTTCCTTGGGAGGTGAGTTTGTTGTGGAATCTGACTTTGCTGGTATGTGGTTGAATCCCACCCCAAATCAGTGATGGCGTGGAAATGGCTGCTGTCTTCGCCATTCTCTTAAGGTTTACGACGTAGAGAGCAAATGGTTTTGCTGATGACTGAAGGCTGTCCAATGCACATAACCACCAGGTACATAGAGTCCTCTCTGCCTCCTTCGCCTGTTATGTTTGTGCCAAACAGGTTGGCACAATAAAATTCCTCATGGTACTTCACTTATCATGCCTATATTAGTAATTTTGCATGCCAGGTTCTGCTTGCAACAAGTGTGTGTGTGTTGGCAAAGGCAGTAGCTCTCTTCTGTAAACTTTGATCACTTCCAGATAACCTGTTTATTTAGCGCTCCTTGTGATTCGTTTACAGGGGGATTAGACGGTGGCTGTTATTTTTGAGTGGAAAACTTTCCTGTTTAGGGGTACTGTGGTTGGAAGGGACCCCGAGGGTCATCTAGTCCAAACTCCTGTGATGCAGGAATCTCAACGGAAGCATCTGTGCCTCTGCTTCCAAGCTCCAAGGAAGGAAAGTCCACAACCTCCTGTGAGAGACCGTTCCACCACTGAATAACACTTACTGTCAGAATGTTCTTCCTCATATTTAGTTGGAATCTCCTTTCTTGTAGCTTTCGAGTCCTAACCTCCAGAGCAGAAGAAAACAAGCTTGTTCCATCCTCCACATGACAGCCCTTGAGATATCTGAAGATGGCTATCATATCTCCACTCAGTCTCTTTTCCAGGCTAAACATACCCAGCTCTTTCTACCGTTCTTCATAAGGCTTTGTTGGCAGACCGTCAATCATCTTGGTTCCCCTTGTTCCAGCTTGTCAACAT